TTGTTTGGAAATTTGCGCTTTGAAGTTTGGAAATGTTGCACCTCAAGTCAGTTTTGAAACAACCAGCAACCAACATTTGTTTGTTTGTTTGTTGTTTAACGCCGCACTCAGCAATATTCCAACTATATGACGGCGGTCTGTAAATAATATCAAGTCTGGAACAGACAATCCAGTGATTAATATAAGCATCAATCAACGTTATTGGGATCGATGACATGCATCAACCAAGTCAGCGAGCATGATCACCTGATCCCGTTAGTCGCCTCTTACGACAAGCATATTTGCCTTTTAGGGCAAGCATGGGTTGCTGAAGACCTATTCTGCCCTGGATCTTCATGGTTTTCAGCAGCAGTGATTAGGTGAACAGCTGACTGTGCATTAAAGAACATTCACTTACTTGCTACACTCAATGTATGAAGTCATGTATCAATTGGAAAATATATTTGTGTACATCAGAAGGACATTTATTATATAAAAACAATTTACTATTTTCTGACCATGTGTCCATGCATTGAAAGGTCTTTATTAGTTTAATGGACTATGTTAAATCATATCATATGTACCATACCATACCATAAACCATACAATATCATATGCTATACCATACCATACCATACCATACCATACACCATACCGTACCATAAACCATACAATATCATATGCCATACCATACCATACACCATACCATATACCATACACCATACCATACCATAAACCGTACAATATCATCTGCCATACCATACCATACCATACCATACCATACCATACCATACCATACCATATATGATATCAATCGCTTGATCGTCTGGCCCAGACTCGATTATTTACAGACAGTCGTCATATAGTTGGAATATTGCTGAGTGTGGCATTAAACAAAAACAACAACAAATAAAAATCATATGATATAACATATCATCAAGATCCATATCATATCATGATCATAATATGACACAGTGTAATATTACAGTCTACTTTCCCTGCACAACACCATACCCCAAACTTCAGTACTGGAGTTTTTCATCTTGTGCATCAGTTGTGTGACGTCAGCTTCTGAGTGTGGTACTCCCAGTACCATGTGGGAAGAGGAACAGTGTATACGGGGGAATGAAGGTCAGATGGAAAATAATTATTACACATAACACATACATGCTCAGAGAGATGTTCATGCGTTAAAAAAAAAAGATGATAATGTACAGTAGGTCATCACGAAAACAATGAAACTGTTGTCAGCCGAGTCTTCATCCATTAACGATACACACACTAGTGTGGTGATGCAGACGTTTCCTTCATGCCAAGGAGTGTCCATTGTGCTCTGAGTTAGAGAAGAAATATCAAGAGCAGAATTTGTCAGCCTGTTGGGATTCCACTACCTCCTGAGATTGTGTTGTCCTGTTGATAATGTTGCAAGCTGCTGCACAGTTTTGTTGTTATAATACACGGTTGGGGGACACAGAACAAGATTAGAAATAGCAAGGCACAAGGAGCATGAATTGTGTGGGTTTAGATTAAGTAGGAATTAGTATATCAATCATAGGGTATGTGTGGCTGGGAATGAGAATACACATATGACCAACAACGACCTGGAGTGTTGACACTTGCATTTTCAAGAACTATCATTCCACAAGACTTCATTTTCTCATTCAAACAACAGTAGCACCAGGATCCACTGATAATGGGTTCGAAGCCCAGATTTACCCCAATCATGACTTTTGGTGTCAGCACCTTGTCTGTGCTAATGGATTTCACCAAGTCAGTATCTGTCTACAGCTTGTGTCACTATGTCTTCCTCCACAACAAAGTGACGCAATATCTGAAAAGTGTTAAAATTGGTAAAGAATAGTTAAATTGAACTCACTTATGCAAAGTTTACTCTTCTGACAAGAAAAGCTATAATAGTTTCCTTGCAACTGTGTTTTAATTTTTTTTATGTGAAATCTTCCTCTGTGTCATCTAGTTCTTCCTAAAAACAACATGGATGTATAAACAGGTCAGTAGTCCAGGTGTACAAATTCTATATCTCCCACCCAATTGACCTTCACCTTCAGCCAGACATTCCTTAGTCAGCAGGCATCCATGTAACTCTTGGAAACATTGATACACCATGTTGATAGCCCTGCCAGAAATCTGGCCAACCCCTCCTTCAGGGAAGCGCTATTCCTTGAGAGGAAGATCAGAGCGGTATTGCTGTGGCTGGGACTCTGGGCATGATGTAAGACACAGTATGTGCTTGTTACAAGACTGTATCAACCTAGCCAGTTGAGTGTTATCCCATGCTGAAACACCACATTCACTTGCTGATGTAACAGACCAGAGCAGGTGGCTTACTTCTGCATTGGTGGAGAAAATTTTCGTCTGCAAGAAATATTAGTAAAGCTATGCTTTGCATCAGTGGAAAGATTGTTATCCCCTGTTTTGTTTGTTTGTTATTTAACACTGCACACAGTAATATTCCAGCTATACAATTGTGGTCTGTAAATAATCAAGTCTGGACCAGTCAATCCAGTGATTGATATCATGAGCACTGATCTATGCAATTTGGATATGATGACATGCATCAACCAAGTCAGAGAGCCTGACCACCCAATCCTCTTACAACAAGCATAGTCACCTCTTATGACAAGCATGGATTGCTGAAGACCTTTTCTAACCTGGATGTTATCCAAAGACAGCAGAGTCTATGACTTGGTTTGGAAAATTGTTGTATTCCTTCTCAACAGACTTCTTTGAATGACAGGAAATGAAGCTCTGTTGACCTGTCACTGATACATTTACTCCAGGGCAATTGGCAGAAAATGTCCTGATCTGGAATGATTTTGTTTTGTCTTGAAACTGTCGGTAACTCGCCTGTGGTCAGCAGACATTCCAGAGTTCCTCATCCAGTGCCAAGCTTGAGTTCAAACAAACATGTCAATGGACTGCGAAAGGCACCAACCGTAAACTGGACAGAGCTATCAAGAGTAGCTTTAACTGCTGTCGGCTTTAAACTAATGGTTTCATTCACTGATGAAGTGATTGTTCAGATCTGACAATTTCATATGCTGATGTAGTGAATTTGCTGGTGTTATCCAGGTTTCATACTTGATATAGTGGGGCGGGTAGCCTAGTGGTTAAAGCGTTCACTCATCACGCCGAAGACCCGGGTTTGATTCCCGACATGGGTACAATGTGTGAAGCCCATTTCTGGTGTCCCCCGCTGTGATATTGCTGGAATATTGCTAAAAGCGGTGTAAAACCAAACTCACTCACTCACTCACTCACTCACTCACTCACTCACTCACTCACTTAATATAGTGACAGTTCAGATGTTATAAATCAGTTTCAAGGATTAGTGAGTTAATTAATTTTCTGTCACATCAGCAATATTTCAGCTATACCATGATGAGAAGTTACACAGTAACAATAAGTAGTCTTTTATAAAAAACCTGCCAACACTAAAATAACTAGACTGTCACAGATTTATATTTAAAACGTATAGAACCATAAAAAGATATTACAAAACATAACAATACATTAACAAACTATAGATCACCAGCAACCAAACACCACCATGTCAGGGGCCATATGGCACTTGTGCTACATGCATGGTACCCCAGCAGGAGATACACCTTCTTTCTAACAAATGTTCAACAAGTTAAATACTTCAATTCTAAGGATTTAAAAATCTCCATTCTTTCAGTAATCCCTGCAGAACAAACCCATTTAAACCCACTCCATCATCTGTGACACTGCATACATTATCATTACATCAGCTTTCTTAACACTATCCTCAAACATCGGAATATGCTGACACAGCTTTTTCGCTACCCTGCATAGACATCACAGATCTCTCAACATGCAGCCTCACACCTGAACAGTGTTACCTGAGCTAACGAGGCAGGTAGACCTGTGTACCTGTGCAGGTGATGTAGGTGATGTGATTAGGTTACGTATTACCATAAAGCATACATGACCAGTCATATGTTAACTGGGTAATGGTAACATGTTACGGAGCACCTGTTTCAGATGTACTTGGTGATCGGGCAGCTATGCATATTATGAAGTAAAGAGGATTAATATGTGATAAATGGCGCTTATGAAAAAGAATTGTTGGTTGTTTGAGGATCATGTTCTGCTTGAGGCTAAAGATATAATGCTGAGATGGCTCGTAGCAACGTTAGATTGTCTATGCTACAACAGATGCCATTGATTTAAATCTTATTGAGAAGGGATTTATAGATGGGAATAATAATGATAATAATAATGTGTACTTATATCACACTCAGTACATGCTGATTATAACATGTGATATGAAAAAGTGTTTTGCAGAATCAAATCCTTATTGCTTACAAATATATATTTGTGTATCTTTCTTTCTTAATTTGTTTTCATTTTTCAATGTTGAAACCTTCCCTTATCCAATTAGAAAAATCTTTGATTATATAACATTTAACAACAAGAAGATTTTGTGTAATAAATTGAAAGGCATAGTTTGTGATGAAAACTTTGGTCGAATTACTTTTGTATCGAATTCATTTGCTGAGAATACATCCTTATCTGTAATTCCTCGTCTGTGTGACATGATGATAGCCCAGTGGTTAAAGTGTTCTCTAATCACACCTAAGACTAGGTTTAATTCCTCACTTTGATATGATGTGTGAGCCCATTAGTAACATCCCAAATGAATGTGAAATTACTGTAGTTTTGCTAAAAGCTGCAAAAAATCATACTGACTCACTCACTTTGTCTGAGCCCATTAGTAACGTCCCAAATGGATGTGAAATTACTGGAGTTTTGCTAAAAGCTGCATAAAATCATACTGACTCACTCACTTTGTCTGAGCCCATTAGTAACATCCCAAATGAATGTGAAATTACTGTAGTTTTGCTAAAAGCTGCATAAAATCATACTGACTCACTCACTTTGTCTGAGCCCATTAGTAACATCCCAAATGAATGTGAAATTACTGTAGTTTTGCTAAAAGCTGCATAAAACCATACTGACTCGCTCACTTTGTCTTGCAGGTAGCAACACACTTGGCAACCAGCCCTTCCATCTCAACTGGGCCTGGATCTCCCTGGAAGCTGATAAACTCTTTGTTAATGAGACAGGCAAGGAATTAGAAGTGACCCTGAGACGAAGAGGTTATCTGGGCGAGACATCCTTTGTCAGTAAGTAAATGCATACCCATCACTGATGTAATACTGTAAATCTGGAAATTAATGCATCTCCAAATTAATATGACTGCTGACCCCTAGCCAAAAATGCGACTCAAAATCAATGCGACTCCCCCCACCCAATCACCAGTGGAATCATACATATCCTTACCTTAATCCAATCATATAGAAAATAGCACCGCTTATGAGCACTGAGTAAAACACTTCTGTAATAACAATAAACAGTGTTTTCAAAAAACCAACACACAGTTTATTCATTTATTCTGCTGACTGGCATTAAGGAAGTTCAAAGGCAATAAAATAATTGAACCAACAAAAGTTCACTGATAGGAGAGGGCAATGAGGACTAGTTTGACACAAGTGGGTAGAACTGTTGACCAAAGCAATGATAACTCACCGGATGTCTGTGGTGTAATTCCTATTCTTTAATTGACATCGTATGTACTTGTTACAACTACAGCTCAATAAACCGTGTTTGTGTATATATTCAGGTTGGTATTTCTGCTAAGAGGTCACATTTAAACCCCAAATAAAATATTAAAACCAAAACTACCTAATCTAACAACCACCCAACACAGACAGCTCCCTTAGTTCGTCCTCCACCCACTCTTGGCATTCATTCCAAATCTCAAAATTTCAAAATTACTATATAAGCAACCCCTAGAGCCCCCCTCCTGGGTTGCACAAACTCACTTTTCCCCTTTTCGGAAATACATTAAATGGCCTGGCAGGGCCCGTGTGCGACATACACTTGCAGTCGGAAAGCGCACGTTAAATCTCCAATATAAGTAAGTCCGCTATCCAAAGTGTGCAGTGAGTCCGTCTTATTGTTGATAGTCATTTTGGAGACATAAATGCGAAGTTTCACTAATGCGAACAAAGACCACTCGCATTTTTCGCATTTAATTCACGCTTGCGTTAATTTCAAGATTTACAGAATGTTATTATGTTCATTTATTGTAGCTGAAGGATTGATGCATGAAAGCATCATACATCATGACCATGGAGGATGCTGTAGCATGGCTAACTATGACTTTAGTGAAACTGGGGGATTTTGCGAGTTTATCCTTTTACGTCTGTCGTCCATGACATTCTTCGGCAGAGAAGGTCCCTGTGTATCCAGCTGAGGATTGGGTGATCACCTTGCTGACCTGGATGATGTAGATTGTTCTTCATGTTATCAAACTCTTGTTGTTGGCCCAGACAGTTCTCTACAAATATCCTTGATATAGAAGGAATGTTGATAACTGTGCCATAAAAGAACATTCACTCACTGCCTTTAACCAGTACATGTGTATTTGTCCTATGTTCTGTACAATGCCCCCTGTTTTTTCAGCCATATCTGTTATCAATGGAACTGCTAAGGTTGGAGAAGACATCAACCCTCGGTATGCTGATCAGGTCCAGTTTAATCCTGGTAAGTACAGATTTGATATACTTCATTTGGATTCTTCTGGCCCCTGGTCTCAAGAGGAAAATAAAATAGGGATTGGCTGGTCACAATGGCAGTTTAGTGTCAGTAGAACTTAGAAAAAGCCATCCTCAGATGCGATCGTGTGTCATTGTGCTCTAATGGCATACTTGTTGCTCATGCTATTGACTGTTGATGGCCCAGTTGTCTAAGGTGCCCAATTTGCTATGCAGAGTTGCATCCCTTGGTTGTGGCAGCATTCAACAATCATAGATTATACTCACAGACTTGCACTGATCGTGATCTCTGTTTAGACTAACACATAGTCAATGAAAACATGTCTTTAAAATAATAAAAAAAAGATTTTCGAAAGAATATTTGCTCTTCTACTGTTTTCATAAGCAAACTAGACTTGGTTAGTTTTATCTAGACTTGCCTAGGCTTTTAGTTAAAAGAAATAACTAAAAAATATATATTCCACAGTCATGGTGCTGGACTAATCTCTGCTTTGTCAGCCATTCTTGTGGGTTTTACGAAAGTGGTAATAACCTAAGACCTGAGAAGGCTTTCCTCGCAACTGAAACACTGTTCAAAGTAGCATAAACCCAACTCATTCACTCACTACTGTGACCCATGAAGATCCGGGTTAGAATAAGTCTTCAGCAACCCATGCTTGTCGTAAGAGGCGACCAACGGGATCGGGTGGTCAGACTCGCTGACTTGGTCATCGTATCCTAATTGCGTGGATCGATGTTCATGATGTCAATCACTTGATTGTCTGGTCCAGACTCAATTATTTACAAACTGCCATCATATAGCTGGAATATTGCTGAGTGCGGCGTTAAACAACAAACAAACAAACACTCACTACAGTGATATAATTTTAATATTGCTGACATCAACTCTGCTTGGGGGGTGGGGGTATTTTTGTTATTGTTATTGTATGTTTTTTGTTTTGTACATGTTTTGGTATTAATATTATTGTAAGTAATATTACACCACACCTCCACTCCAAGCCCCACTCCATGGTTTAAACCTGGTTAGAGCAGCTATGTTAACTAGGGTCTATCAGTTAAACTATATTACAATGTTTGTTTTCAACAGACATATTGCCCTGAGAAGTCATTTTTTGTGTACATTTATCACTAATCTAGATGTGTTTCCAGCATCAACTGACGCCTGATATATGCTATATACAATACTGTATAAATATTCAGCATGCATCTGATGCTATCTAAAACCAAACTTTTAAACAGTGTCCACCCAATGTTTGCAGTGTGTCTTTCGATAGTTCCTTGTTTAAATTGTTTGTCACAAATGACTAATATTTGTCAATATCTGTTATCAGAACAATTTATCTGAGTTTACCCCCCCTTGAAGACAGCAATTAAATCAGTGTGTGATACGATTCCAGTTAGTCACCAGGGGATATGGTCAATGTCAAACAGACAGTTCATGTAAACTTTGTCCTGCCTGGGTCGCCATGGTGATGCCTTGGAATCAGGAAATGGTAAACACAGATACTCTGTGACTCAATGTGGCAATTTGCAGCAATCTTTCATGGTGATTTGCTCTTTGACTGTATTTTTTATAGGCACTGGTATTTGAACTGGTTCGAAGGTTTGTGAGAAATTCTTTTATATACCACCCATGAGAGTCTCGTTCCCAAGGGATAACTTGAAGTTGGATAAAAAATGTTCTAAACTGCCATCCCCCCACACCTTGAAAGACATTTATTTAGAAGTTGACTGATGCCTTCTCCCATGAAATACTTATATCTGTAGCTAATATTTTATAATTCGTACCCTTATGGTTTAAACATATTTATTTTTCAACTGAAAATTGGGATCGGTGAACAAGACAGCACTTCTTTGAATACCTCTCCCTCCATAGAAATCAGGTAACAAAAAGATAGTCAAAGTGTATTCATACATAATATTTACACACAAAATAGCTTGGTGGTCAGTTATTAAGCATGATCAGCAGTATCTGGTTTTGATAGCCAGAATGATGGGGTTAAGATTTTATTTTTTAACTTTGTAGATGTGTATTTTTAAATAAGATTACTTTATTTCTCGGACTAAATGTCAGTCTACTAGGATAACTAATTTTGGGGTCAATATTTATCCCCCCAACCTATGCTTGAAAAATTGAAAAAGGAGTCCAACTAAAGTCTAGAATGTTATGGCAAGTCTAGATTGCCTCAGTTCTGAAATTATGGATTGTTCTAGGCTCCATTTGGATTTTATTTTTTTAGTTTGTAGATATATATTTTTAAATAAGATTACTAAATGATCCCCCCCCCCCTCCCCCAACCTATCCTAGTCATAAGCATCCACTCACTGGATTCATTTTGATAGAAACATGCCGTTTTCCTGTGTCCTGTGTTCCTGTGTCAAACTACCAAGCACCTGTTGAGTCTGATTCATTATACATTCAAGGTATATTTTGGGAATGGTTCCAAATCCTTGTCTCTCTCATGTGGGGATTTTTCTATTCCAGGGGTAATTAAATAGCATTTGGACTCCATGAAAAATCAACACATGAAGCGTGTCATGGAACTCGTTAAACTCAGCATCCAAGACTGATGGTATCCCCCTCAAACATTGTAAATCATGTAGACATAGCTGCATGTCTGCCTGGGGTCCCCTCTTCTCTCAGATCTCTTACAATGGTTATCTCCCCAGTGTTCAACTGCCTAATTTAATATCAATCCAGTGGAGACAGACACATTAGCGTAGCCTCGTTGCCCTCCGTATCTCCACACACTTGTCTTCTGTGAGCGGCTGTGGTAGGACATTGGCTGCTTGTGTTACAGTGTTACATCTCTCTCAGCAGGTGCCCCTGTAATACCTCAGACTCTACTAATACTCTGTTGCTGCTGTCTGTGCCAAAAATGTACAAGTCTGTGCCCCAAAGTTATCTCTTGGCATCATTTTCTGAGGATTTTAGTTCTGATATAAGACAAAAAGTTGAGCATACGAGACAAATCAGAAGTTTAAGAGACTTGTTCTTAGGACTATTGTTGCTAGTTCCTCAGTTTTTTCTGATTTGGGGAGCACGGGTGACCCAGTCGTCCAGGGCGCCGCAATTCGCTGTTCAGAGTTGCGTCCCTTGGACACGCCAGAGACCTATGATTGTGGGTTCGAATACGGGTTTCGCCCTGATTATGTTTCTAGGTTCGTCAGCACCATATCCGTGCTCGTGGGTTTCACCAAAGTGGTAAACGTCTAAGACCTGCATCACTTCTGGCTTTCCTCCCACATTAAGCTAACACTGGAATACTGTTAAAAGTGGTGTTAAACCCAACTCACTCACTCACTCTTTCTGATTGGTAAAAGGGGCGGCCGGGTAGCCTAGTGGTTAAAGCGTTAGTTCATCACGCCGAAGACATGGGTTCAATTCCCCACATGGGTACAATGTGAGAAGCCCATTTCTGGTGTCACCTGCCATGATATTACTGGAATATTGCTAAAAGCGGCATATAACAAGACTCACTCAACCACTCTGATTGGTAAGGGTACAATATTTTACATTTTCAAGGCTAAGAATGACCCTCCTGTAGATTGAGGGTGTGGCAGGGTGGAATGTGATCCTGTGTATGGTGAGAGGATGGGGACTGACTGCAGTGTCTGAACTCAACCAACTCACACAGCGGGAGGGCAGCAAGAAACACGGAGGTGGCTCTTGAAAAAGCAAACATTGTGGGAGCATTACTAGGAGTAAAATAAACTTCCAACCAATTACACAACAGCTTGCAGGAAAATGTTATACCCGGGGCCATTGGCATTGTGAAAACATCAGGGACGTGTAAAATGTTTTTGAAGAAGTGGAGGAGGTTTTATGTCTGTATTGTAATTAAGCCAGGGAATATGCAACACTGGCCAAATAATGTAGAAGTTTGTGAGGTTTTGCTTGTTAGTGTGACAGTTCATTTGGTTGTGCAAACAGGAGTTGAGCAAAGATACAGAGGTCGACAATTCATTATTTGAGAATGGAATTAATGTCTTTTATTATATATAATTAGTTTTGCTTTTTCATTGTAAACGGTATCAGAAGCAGTTGTTGCAATTCTCTCCAATGGAATTGAAGCAGATATGAACTATGTGTCATTTCTTTTGAAGAAAGTATTACATGAATTTTGATATTTGTTGTAGTTAATTAGACGGCACTGAAAATATATCTGTCAAAAGATATTTTCTGTTCACACTATGGGCAAACATGAATCAAATATTTGCTATCCTGCTGATATGCGGCTAAAAAAGAAAGGGCAGGTAACTCTAACCACACATCGTAGCCATAGGAATGTACATCTAATACGTTTGACCTTTAGTTTACTTTCCTAGGGACAAAAAAGAAATTATTGCACACATTACTTTCAAGCCAAAAAAATGGAACAAAACATGTCTCTCTCTATTTGCCTAAAATTTAACTACATGTAATGTGATGCCGCTGTGATGAAATCTCACTGTATAGTTTGACATGAAATGGAATTGATTGCTTAAAAAAGTTTTGTACACATATTTCTCATTGGGTAATATGACCTGTGAAGATCCGGGGTAAAATAGGTCTTCAGCAACCCATTCGTACAGGGTGAAACGCTAACCTCAACTTTAAATTCTTAATGACAGTTAGGATTTGTTACAAACTAATCTACTTGAAATTTGATGGCTACAGTATATTCCTAGGTCCTTGTTTATGAGGATTTTATAAGTGTTCTAAGTGTAATGGATCCTTTAGTCAGTGTGTTCTCTGACTTTATGAGGAAAATTTAAATTAATGGGGATACTCATAAGCTGCTAAAGAATAAACCTAAACCACGACTACCTTGCAGCTTATTATGATTAGGACTTTAGAATATTCCATGATAGAGATTGAAAATTTGATATCAAATAATATTTCAAAACTGTAAAGTGACTGTTCAGCGAAAACAAAATGGTATTGAGAAAGGATGCAACAGTTTGATACATAGATAGGATCAGATAGGACATGCTGACTTGGTTGATGCATGTCATCGTATCCCAATTGCATGGATCGATGCTCATGATGTCTGTCACTGGATTGTCTGGTCCAGACTTGATTATTTACAGCTAGCCGTCATACAGATGGAATATTGCTGAGTGCGGCATTAAACAACAAACATACAAACAAACAGAAAACATTGGGTTATGTATAGTCTGAAAAATGAAAGGGTTTTAATATTTACTTTTGTCAAATTGTTATAAATATACAAATATACATTATAGCCAAGTGCGTTTCCGTATCTTAAATATCATATATTTAGGAATAATAATTTTATTAAGCAAGCCTTAAAATAATGGATGTTAAGACATACAGTAAACTAAGGTTATAACGAACACGCTTATAACGAACTGACGGATAACAACGAACTTACTTTTTGGTCCCAACTACTTGCTGTAGTAATGCTGTATATGTACTTATAACGAACTACGGTTATAACGAACTTAAATTAGTAGTCCCTTTGAGTTCGTTATAACCGTACTTTACTGTATTTTCATTCCATAAAGTAGCTTCAGAAACTGTGTATGAATACAAGTTTTGAGTGAATCGGTCAAGTTATATAGTGCCAAATGACCTGCAGCCATGTTTTCACCCATGTTTGGGTGACACATTGGAAAATTGCTAACTAAGCATAAAGGGAACATTTGTTATGGTTTATTGTGAAAGAAGGCATCATATTGATGGAAGATGCTTGCAAACAGTTCCTGCTAGGCGACCTCATGTTTATCCGCTCATGATACCAAGTTTAGCGATTGGATCTCATGGATAACTCAAGCCTTTATATGATAATAGTAGTTATGTTGCAGATTTAGTAACAACATATTGATTTTCTCTGTCAGGGCATGACAACAACATCATACGTAATTCTTGGTGCCCCCTGCAGTCTTAAAGCAACAATATCTTCAAACAAGGCAGAACATTTCACAATTTCAAGCCGGCTTTTAAATTTGTAGTTGTTTCCTGAGTCAAATGGGGGATCCAGTTGTCTGAGCCTAATAAATGAACCTTGCAGAGTAGCCTCCCTTTGTCATGACAGAATCCAATTATTGTTGGTATAACTCCCTGATTTGCCTTATTATGTAAGCATACCCATGCTTGTGGGTTGAACCAAAATGTTAAATATTAAGGACCTGCATCTATTTGGACACCACGATGTTACTGAAATAGTATTAAAAGATGCATTGAACCAAACTCACTCATTCACCCTGAGGGGCAGTGGGCTAGCCTTGTGGTAAGAGCGTTTGCTTGTCACGCCGATGACCCAGGTTCAATTCCCCACATGGGTACAATGTGTGAAGCCCATTTCTAGTGCCCCTGCTGTGATATTGCTGGGATATTGCTAAAAGCGGCATAAAAACACTCTCACTCACTCACTCACTCACTCACTCACCGACTCACCGACTCACTCACTCACTCACGCTGAATGTAATAGGTGTTGTATATATGAGTGTAATAGATGTTGTATATATGAATGTTATAGGTGTTGTATATATTGTATTTCAGGCCAGACAGAGAAGGTGTGGAGGCTGAGGATCTTGGATGATGAGAAGTATGAGGAGAGAGAGACCTTCAACCTGGAGCTGTCCAAGCCAGTCATGGGTGTCCTTGAGTACCCAGATGTGGCCAAGGTGACCATCACAGACAAGGAGGATGGTGAGTGTCAACATGTCAGGTGGTCTTATACTCCTCTCACCCCCCAGAGCATATACATTATGTGAGGCATTCTCCTCCATTCCCCTGTCTCAGCTCTAGCAGCCTGTACACTTCCCTTTTTCAGCCCTAGCAACCTGTACTCTTCCCCTGTCTCAGCTCTAGCAGCCTGTACTCTTCCCTTCTCAGCTCCAGCAGCCTGTACCCTTCCCTGTCTCAGCTCTAGCAGCCTGTACCCTTCCCTTCTCAGCTCCAGCAACCTGTACTCTTCCCTTCTCAGCTCCAGCAACCTGTACTCTTCCCCTGTCTCAGCTCTAGCAGCCTGTACCCTTCCCTTCTCAGCTCCAGCAACCTGTACTCTTCCCTGTCTCAGCTCCAGCAACCTGTACTCTTCCCTGTCTCAGCTCCAGCAACCTGTACTCTTCCCCTGTCTCAGCTCCAGCAACCTATACTCTTCCCTTCTCAGCTCTAGCAGCCTGTACTCTTCCCCTGTCTCAGCTCTAGCAGCCTGTACTCTTCCCCTGTCTCAGCTCCAGCAACCTGTACTCTTCCCTTCTCAGCCCTAGCAACCTGTACTCTTCCCCTGTCTCAGCTCTAGCAGCCTGTACTCTTCCCTTCTCAGCTCCAGCAACCTGTACTCTTCCCTGTCTCAGCTCTAGCAGCCTATACTCTCCCCTTCTCAGCTCTAGCAGCCTATACTCTCCCCTTCTCAGCTCTAGCAGCCTATACTCTTCCCCATCTCAGCTCTAGCAGCCTATACTCTTCCCTTCTCAGCTCTAGCAGCCTATACTCTTCCCTGTCTCAGCTCTAGCAGCCTGTACTCTTCCCTGTCTCAGCTCTAGCAGCCTATACTCTCCCCTTCTCAGCTCTAGCAGCCTATACTCTCCCCTTCTCAGCTCTAGCAGCCTATACTCTCCCCTTCTCAGCTCTAGCAACCTGTACTCTTCCCCTGTCTCAGCTCTAGCAGCCTGTACTCTTCCCCATCTCAGCTCTAGCAGCCTATACTCTTCCCCATCTCAGCTCTAGCAGCCTATACTCTCCCCTTCTCAGCTCTAGCAGCCTATACTCTCCCCTTCTCAGCTCTAGCAGCCTATACTCTCCCCTTCTCAGCTCTAGCAGCCTGTACTCTTCCCTGTCTCAGCTCCAGCAGCCTATACTCTTCCCCTTCTCAGCTCTAGCAGCCTATACTCTTCCCCTTCTCAGCTCCAGCAGCCTATACTCTTCCCCATCTCAGCTCTAGCAGCCTATACTCTTCCCCATCTCAGCTCTAGCAGCCTATACTCTTCCCCTTCTCAGCTCTAGCAGCCTATACTCTTCCCTATCTCAGCTCTAGCAGCCTATACTCTTCCCCTTCTCAGCTCTAGCAGCCTATACTCTTCCCCTTCTCAGCTCCAGCAGCCTATACTCTTCCCCATCTCAGCTCTAGCAGCCTATACTCTTCCCCATCTCAGCTCTAGCAGCCTATACTCTTCCCCATCTCAGCTCTAGCAGCCTATACTCATCCCCTTCTCAGCTCTAGCAGCCTATGGGGCGGTCGGGTAGCCTAGTGGTTAAAGCGTTCGCTCGTCGTGCCGAAGACCCGGGTTCGATTCCCGACATGGGTACAATGTGTGAAGCCCATTTCTGGTGTCCCCCGCCATGATATTGCTGGAAAATTGCTAAAAGCGGCATAAAACCATACTCACTCACTCACTCACTCTAGCAGCCTATACTCTCCCCTTCTCAGCTCCAGCAGCCTATACTCTTCCCCATCTCAGCTCTAGCAACCTATACTCTCCCCTTCTCAGCTCTAGCAGCCTATACTCATCCCTTTCTCAGCTCTAGCAGCCTATACTCATCCCCTTCTTAGCTCTAGCAGCCTATACTCTTCCCCTGTCTCTGCTCTAGCAGCCTATACTTTCCCCTTTTTTAGCCCTAGCAGCCTATACTCTTCCCCTTTTTCAGCTCTAGCAGCCTATACTCTTCCCTGTCTCAGCTCCAGCAGCCTATACTCTTCCCTGTCTCAGCTCCAGCAGCCTATACTTTCCCCTTTTTCAGCTCTAGCAGCCTTTTCTTCCCCTTTTTCAGCTCTGGGGACTTATTGCTTCCTTAGTACTCAATTGTTCCTTTAAAGAATTATTTATAATTAACCTTAAACATAACATTATTTCAGGACTATGTGTTTGTCTAATATTTCATGTTCTTTATGTCTTAAAGTACTCAAATATGCCATGTAAAAATGCCAATATCTACTCTGTAACTGTTTTTTCACTAAACATCAACATTTGAATGGTTTGCTTTTATGTATGAATTTATGCCTTGAACATGTTTCAACAGTTGGTTAAGTGTATAGAGAGTTCTTTAAGACAGTATAGAATTTAGATCTAAAATATTTTATATTGGCTTGCTTATGATTTAGAGAACTCTACTTTTAGCAGATATTTCTAATGACTATGGAAAGGTTTTGTTGCTTCTGTTTAGTTGAGGCTCTTATTTTTGGATTTCGAACATGAAAGCATTTTTCTGATATTAAATTGAACCAAGCACCTAACTACTCCATTTTTCCAGAATCTACTGTTTCAATCCCCGAGAAGGAGTACCATGTGTCTGAGGACATCGGGGAGATCCTGATCCCTGTGAGGAGAGAGGGAGATTTGTCAGATGAGCTCATGGTCATCTGCTCCACTGTTCAAGGTCAGTAGGGGGAGAGAACTCTTGTAACCATCATTCAATGACACAGGAGACATGAGGCGTAACAAAACAAGAGGACATGCTGTTCCATATGTATCGCAGTACCTGGGTTAAAATATGTTATTTAAAATATTATATTAATATATAATCTGAATCTTGGTGACTTTTGACAGAAAAAGAACCTCATCAAATCACCATTTAATTTCAATCTTGGATGAAGTTCATTTTTTTTCTTGAAAGTCACATTTGTTAGCTTAGTCTGATATTTGTATGTTATGATGTCCTTACGAAAATGGGGGTGGTGGGGTAGCCTAGTGCTCAAGCATTCACTCATCACACCAAAGATCAGGGTTTAATTCCCCACATGGATACAATGTGTGAAGCCCATTTCTGGTGTCCCTGCTGTGATATTGCTTGAATATTGCTAAACGTGGCGTTAAAACATACTCACTCATTCACTCACTCTTACAAAAAAATCCCCTGTGAAGATCCAGGTTACAATTGGTCTTCAGCAACCCAGACTTGTTATAAATGGCAAATACGGGATTGGGTGGTCAAGCTTGCTGACTTGGCTGCTGTATGTCATCTTATCCCAATTTCATAGATCAATGCTCATGATGTCAATCACTGAATTATCTGGTCCAGACTCCATTATTTACTGCCCATTGTCATATAGCTAGAATATTGATGATTATGGTTTTAAACAGCAAACAAACAAACAGACAAAAGTAAATATTTTGTATTTGTATCACAACCCTTGTAGATTGATACATCAAGAGTCTTGTATCAATACAACCCTAGGTGTACAGTGAGTTAAGCAAAGACAACTTGCAGCAAATAACCTTTAATCAGTTGCTATGGAAACATGGTGTAAATAGTTTTACAAACTACGTGACATGCTCAACAGCTCTTGAATCTGTATCTTTCCTCCCACATTAGGCCGACACGCCATGATATAACTGGAATACTGTTATAAGCTCACAAATATAACTGGAATACTGTTAAAAGCTCACAAACTCACAAACTTGAATCTGTACCTAACCAAACTGAAATCATCCTCCCCAGGGTCGGCAACAGGGACTACCTGTATCCCAATTGCTTAGATCAATGCTCGTGATGTCAAGATTGTCATTGGATTGTCTGGTCAGTCAATTTTATTTATTTTTTAAATGCTGGTATATAACTGAAATAATTCTGAGTGTGGCATTATTTAACAAAAAAATATATATATATAGTGTATATTTGGGTATAAATTTTCATGAACTAACCAGATTTCTGGAACACATCACTATGCTACTGTCTTTACTCTTTAGTACACACAGAAAGTAATCATTTTGTCATGGAATTGTTTTATCTCGAAAACAATGACTCAAATGAACAGAATTAACCCATGAAAGGGAGGTTGTACATAGCCCAGTAGGGAGTGCGCTTGACATCACAGCAACAGCCCAGGTTCGATTCCATACAGTGTTTCACTTCCCCTATCTGCTTGTGGTAGCATCATACCACAACGACAAATGAACCCAACCCAACTGATAACCTGAAGTCCATGTCTTGACTGTCTTCACACGACCTTGAACTGGAATCAATAGTAAGAACATCAGAGTCCTGTATCTAAAGTACCATCCATTGACCTCACCAATGACATGTGACCTTAAGGTCATTACCAATCAGCATTTAAATCTCTGCATTGGAATTTCTGTGTCTTTTTGAACTTTGGTAAATTCTTACTGAGTGAACCCTTGAACATTGTTTGTCCTCAATGAACCCTTGGCCATGAGCATTCTCTGTCCTAGGTTAATGTTGGAACAGATGGTAAAGGTGCTCATAGTAAAGACTGATCATTGATGAGTGAATTTGCAAACTTTCACCAGGTCCTGTCTGTGTCTACATCAGGGGCGTTACATGTTTCTGTGAGGGGGGATAATGGTCTTGTATCAATACAACCCTAGGTGTACAGTGAGTTAAGCAAAGACAACTTGCAGCAAATAACCTTTAATCAGTTGCTATGGAAACATGGTGTAAATAGTTTTACAAACTACGTGACATGCTCAACAGCTCTTGAATCTGTATCTTTCCTCCCACATTAGGCCGACACGCCATGATATAACTGGAATACTGTTATAAGCTCACAAATATAACTGGAATACTGTTAAAAGCTCACAAACTCACAAACTTGAATCTGTACCTAACCAAACTGAAATCATCCTCCCCAGGGTCGGCAACAGGGACTACCCCCAGCACGGTGACGTCCTTCTCTGACTACATCACCCGCAGCCAGGATCACCGCAGCATTGTCAGGTTCGACAAGGACGAGAAGGAGAAGTACTGCCACGTCATGATCATCGACGACTCGCTGTACGAGGTGGAGGAAAACTTCACTGTCATCCTCACTGAGCCCATGGGAGGCAAGATCGGAGACAACAAGACAACCGTTCTCATCGAACCCGATAAGAATGATGGTCAGTTGCTAAGCATGCAGACTTTTCGGATTTTGTAATTGGGATATTTAGGCTCACTGACTTTGTTGATGCATGTCATTGTATCCCAATTGCTTAGATCAATGCTCGTGATGTCAAGATTGTCATTGGATTGTCTGGTCAGTCAATTTTATTTATTTTTTAAATGCTGGTATATAACTGAAATAATTCTGAGTGTGGCATTATTTAACAAAAAAATATATATATATAGTGTATATTTGGGTATAAATTTTCATGAACTAACCAGATTTCTGGAACACATCACTATGCTACTGTCTTTACTCTTTAGTACACACAGAAAGTAATCATTTTGTCATGGAATTGTTTTATCTCGAAAACAATGACTCAAATGAACAGAATTAACCCATGAAAGGGAGGTTGTACATAGCCCAGTAGGGAGTGCGCTTGACATCACAGCAACAGCCCAGGTTCGATTCCATACAGTGTTTCACTTCCCCTATCTGCTTGTGGTAGCATCATACCACAACGACAAATGAACCCAACCCAACTGATAACCTGAAGTCCATGTCTTGACTGTCTTCACACGACCTTGAACTGGAATCAATAGTAAGAACATCAGAGTCCTGTATCTAAAGTACCATCCATTGACCTCACCAATGACATGTGACCTTAAGGTCATTACCAATCAGCATTTAAATCTCTGCATTGGAATTTCTGTGTCTTTTTGAACTTTGGTAAATTCTTACTGAGTGAACCCTTGAACATTGTTTGTCCTCAATGAACCCTTGGCCATGAGCATTCTCTGTCCTAGGTTAATGTTGGAACAGATGGTAAAGGTGCTCATAGTAAAGACTGATCATTGATGAGTGAATTTGCAAACTTTCACCAGGTCCTGTCTGTGTCTACATCAGGGGCGTTACATGTTTCTGTGAGGGGGGATAATGGTCTTGATGTCAGACTTGAATGTTCTCCAGGTGGAGCAAGGGTAATGATGGCACCAGCTCCTGACCATGTCTACATCAGGGGCGTTACATGTTTCTGTGAGAGGGGATAACGGCCTTGATGTCAAACTAGAATGTTTTCCAGGCGTGGCAGGGTAATGATGGCACCAGCTGCTCAGGGCACTGTGTGGAGGACATCAGTGTTAGGGATGATGTGCTGAGGATAGAGCTGATCACACAGCTAGGGTATTTGTCTGTCAGGCAGAGCATGAAATACAATCTTGAAAAAACACAAGTCTATAATGTTTAGCACGACTAGATTTATTCAGGCTAATAGAATTTCTGATGACTACGTTCACATGAGTCATTGGTATTACATCTTAATAGACAATTGTGCTTCAGCTGAACAAGAAAATCTTACAATACATTCAGGGACTTAATGTTAATCTTCTTAAGAATTGACTTCAGTTTTTTGGTGGGTTTTTTAATATAGGTGTATGCACACTGGCATTAATGTTTATATCTCCATAAGCACGAGAATATATGGAAGTCAATTCTTTTGAATATTAAGGTCAGCCTGCCTCTGTGGTCTAGTGGTAGAGCCTCCCAGAGAGCCGAACGTCTGGGATTTGATCCCTTGCTGCATCATACCTAAAGACGTTAAAAGATGGTACTTGTTGTTAACCTGTCTGGCACTCGGCATTAAGGGGCTAGAACAGGACTGGTCGGCTTGGAGTCAGTATTCTGTGTCTGGGTTGGGTATTCGTTTTAATTGGGGCATGGTATCTCAGAGTGCTAGCACTATAAATCGGCATCAGTCCAGACAAGTGCAAGCGGTCACATTAATCAGTGCAATGTAAGAGGGGACTTCATGTATCAGGTGGTCAGACTCAGTGACCAGGTTGATTGCGTGACATTGTACCCCCACGGCGTGGATTGTTTACTCATAACATCAATCACTGAAATTGTCTGGTCCAGACTCGATTATTCACAAGCTATGGTCATATAACTTGAATGTTGCTGAGTTAAGCGTCAAACAATGAACAGACGTACACACAAATACATGCACATGCCAGAAGTAATTTGCAATATGTCTGTTCCAGAGCCTACCTTCTACTTCGGAGAGTCTGAATACTCCGTGGATGAGAGTGACGGCTTTGTTGAGATCAAGGTCTGGAGGACAGGTACTGACCTCAGCAAACCATCGAGTGTCACTGTGAGGTCACGCCGTACTGATCCACCATCGGCAAAATGTAAGTAAAGTCAGGAGGAGTTCCTGAAGTGTGTCCGTCCCAATCAGTTTCAAGGATGAACATGGCATATCACTGCATAAGGAATTACATGTAGTATCGAGGTATGATGTGGAATGGGTAGTCCTATATCATGATTGCGGAATATCTGCATTGAATTCAGTCACGGCCAGTCTAGATGATAGACGTAGGCAAGCTAGCAATATTCCATATGAAATCAGCAGTAAAAATTTAACAGAGAAAAGTGTTGCATAATAAAAGATTTTTATATTAATCCATAACAATGGTTGCTGTGTGTTGTGTAGAGGACACAACAGGTTGTTTAAGTTTGTTTATGGTAATTCTTTTGAATACCTTACCTCTATTACATCATAGCCATAATCCTGCATTTTGGCTACACTCACACTTTATATTCAGATTTTTCAACAGACGTCCTCTTCACTGCCAGCTATCTAAAAACTAGTTGCATGGGAAACAGTATTAAAACTGCCCTACTGGGACAATTAATGTTTATGATGTCTAGAAGATCTAGAACAGTTGTGGCACAGAAACACACATATGAAGAAAATCCTGTCTTAATTGTTCTGAAGTGTGGAAATGTTTCTGTTGTGGACATGAAACTTGATTGACCAGGGTTAATCAGGATGCCAGTCCCCATGCTGGCCATTAGAGCTGACGAACATAAGGGTTGGGTGTTTGCAGTGTGTGACCTGCTGATTGAATGTCATCATATCCCAACACCATGGATCGCTGCTCATGCCATCAACCACTAGTTTTTTTTGCTCAAATTTAATTATTTACACTCTGCAGTGATATATGCTGACTGCAACCAATATCAATTCACGAACTCGAGTAGATCTAGTTGAGTTATCAATGCAGATGATAATGTAATTGTCGATGGGGGCATTGTTGAATGTGTAACAACGTGAGACAGTATGAATATTAACTAACTTATGCCTATTACCACTGCATTGTGGGCATTGTTGAATGTGTAACAATGTGAGACAATATGAATATTAACTAACTTATGCCTATTACCACTGCATTGTGGGCATTGTTGAATGTGTAACAACGTGAGACAATAAGAATATTAACTTATTTACTCCTGTTACCACTGCAATAGGACTCAGCAGGTAAGTCTGAAACAAGCACAGCAAGCGTTTGGATGTTCTTCGACATCCATCTGTAACTCCACATCACCGTATTTGCCATGAAGCCATTTAACACACTGCTTAATACCCTGCACCCTCTGGTTCTGTTCCGATGAGGTCCCCAGTACTCTATGCTTGTTGTAAGAGCTGCCTTTGAGGATCCGGGGTAGAATAGGTCTTCAGCAACCCATGCTTGTCGTAAGAGGTGACTAACAGGATCGGGTGGTCAGGCTCGCTGACTTGGTTGATACATGTCATTGTATCCCATTTGAGTTGATCGATGCTCATGATGTCAGTCACTTGATTGTCTGGTCCAGTCTCCATTATTTACAAACCGCCCTCATTTGGCTGGAATATTGCTCAGTGTGGCGTTAAACAACAAACAAACAATTTGAGGAACGGGTGGTCACAATTGGAGAGCTGGCTGATTGGCTTAGAGATCCAGATTTCGTATTTGCGTTAAATATGCACAATGACCCACCCAATCAATTTGAGTTGCTTTAGTATACCTGAAATACGTAAAAAAAACCATGCTATAACTACACTGTGAGTACCCAAAGTAGTTTTTTCAGTGTCCAGGGTGCCGTTGTACAAAACAACCTTATCGCTACGACTGTTGTAAGTCTATGTTAAGGTATGGTAGTTACGATCACCTTAGCGCTAAGATTGCTTTGTACAACGGCACCCTGGTCTATATTTCCATACAGTTCTTTATTTTCTGATCGGGGGGTCAGGCAGCCTAGTGGATAAAGCGTTCGCTTGTCATGCAGAAGACCCAGGTTCGATTCTCTACATGGGTACAATGTGTGAAGCCCATTTCTGATGTCCCCGCCATGACATTCCTGGAATATTGCTAAAAGCTGCGTCAAACCAAACTCACTCCCTTATTTGCGTATCGAATTCAGGCATCACATTCACATCAATTCTCCTGCAGGCGATAATGCACAAATTGTAACCTGAAACAACATTTTCAGCAAAAGCATGTTAGAAATTGGTTATTTTGGTTTGTAATACCCAGTAGACTTGACCCAAGGGAGTGAAAATAAACCCAAAAATAATACCCAAAAATAATACCCAAAAATATATACCCATGTGAATGATAACATGTGAGTAAATACCTGCAGCCCTGCTGTTTAGCATCAATCTCTGCTGGTGTTGATGGACCTGGGCTGTCAAAACCAGGTTTTTCTGGCCATGACAAAAAAACGTTTACAGGCTGTCGTGATCTAGCTGAAGTATTGCTGACTGTGGCCTAAAACAACATTCACTCACTCATACACTGGTTGTTTGTTGAAGTCAAATCATATGGCGTGGAGCTTGGTTTTCTTTTCATATTTCCACTACACGCTTTCTTTCATGGAGCGCGACATTAAGCCTCATTCACCTCACCACCTTTCTTTTATGTATTTGCTGCACGGGTTTTGAGGAAGGTTTGATTTGACACGATTCATCAGGTCTAACCTAAATGTTTAAGTTTTCAAAAAGCAGTATTGAAATCCTACTGTTATGCACACATTTTCTAACTCTTTGTCAAATTAATCATAATTAATTTGAAATCAGTTGTTAGAAAGTAGCTTCGAGAGGATATAGGACCTTATAAACTTGGGATCAGGCTCCAAAGGTCTTTTTCTCTGTTTTTTTTAAATCATAATTAATTTGAAATCAGTTGTTAGAAAGTAGCTTTGAGGGGTTATACCACCTTATAAACATGGGATCAAGCACCAAAGGTCTTTTTCTCTGGTTTTTTTTAGTTTGCACAGTCTAAAAGTTCAAGTGAACTCATGATATAGACAAACTTACCTTTCAATATTTTTTTCTTCTCAGAAATATCTGAATTGATGAATCTGAATCTTTGAGAAGATGTCTAACAATTTTAGGACTCAAATCATCAAGATTGACAATTAAGGTGTTTCTTTAAATGTGAAAAGCGCAAAATATTTATCCTTATGACATCCAACTTTTAAAAATATTTAAGAATTCAACTGAATGTCCTTGGTGGGCTACAGTGCCTTTGTATGTTATTTTCTATTGCAAAATCAATACAGTTTGACATCTTTATCTAAGTCTTTTTCTCCTATACTAAGTCAAATCAGATGTTTCTTGTGTGATAGGCCATAGGCCAAAATATATGAAGTGGATACAATACAGTACAGGATAATTTCACAAATTGAATCACGTGTTTCATTTCTGTACATTTCTGATCTTGAAGGCATATTTGAAATACAACGTAACAGATTTTAAATCTTGATAATTTGAGGTTGCCATAAGACTGACAGTCGAATTACATATTTATTTGGTATGTATTGCTTTCGAATATCTTATAAGATTGGGCATATGAGGGTGAAATGATACAGACCTTCCATATTGATTACATTACAAGATGAAGATTATTTTTCAGATTTTGGAATTTGATGGTGTCTCCCGTATCAATATTAAGCCATGTACATCCAACGCGGCATGAGCAAAATCGCTAGCAAATGTACGCCAAGAACAAACTAAGGTTTATTTGACAAACGACCACCTCCCTGGTCTAGTGGTAGAGTGTCCGCCCGGAGAGCAGAAGGTCCAGGGTTTGATCCCCGGCCGCGTCATACCAAAAGACGTTAAAAGATGGTACTTGTTGTTACCCTGTCTGGTGCTCGGCATTAAGGGGCTAAAACAAGGACTGGTCGGCTCGGAGTCAGTATACAGTCTCTGAGTGGGGTATTCATGTTAAACTGCGGCATGGTATCTCAGTGAGCTAGCACTATAAATCGGCATTAGTCCGGACTAGTACAAGCAGCCACACAAACACACACGCAATATACATTCACATCGCTATATAAGTGCAATAATCTTGGACGCGACTTTAAACCCCATTTCACCTCACCTTATTTGACAAACCACTCTTGAAGGCACAAGGTGAAGGCAAGTAATTGTCTGAACCAAGTTCCACTGGGATGTAAAGTGATTTACACGGAACATGTGCATTGCAATACCGTTGAGATGAACAAGGAATGACAATTCTACACCCCCGATACACATGATGAGCATCACTGATACATATCATACTGTTGATGTGTTGTACAGTCATTGAAACTGTTCATCAGATCAGTCTGATCATGTTGTTCACCTTAGGGTACAACCCTTCTGACAGTGGTGAGGCACTGCCATTAGACACCCAACTGCAGGGGATATGCTGTAAACTGAACATGCGCTATTCCATGTTCATCCCTATCACTTCACCGAGGTAAATGCCAGCTTGGAATCGGCACATACTTGAAGGGGGTTGTTCCCAATGACACTTGCCTCAAGGTGTTGACTTATGCCAGGAACTGTCGGAATATACACAAGGAAAATACCATCAATTGTAATCTGGGGCTTGGTTTTCATGCTGCATCGTTTATGCCAGGGTTTGCTATTTTATCCTTTTTTCTCCTAATGGATGGTGTCATGGTTTAGGGATGAATTAAATTTCAGGAAAATGGTGGTAATGCCAGCCAGCTATGTAAATTTAGTTTCTTGGCAAAGGTTACTGGAGATAATGGTTTGTATGTGGGAGTGATTGTTTGAAGAGAGACAGGTGAAATATGTATTAAAAATGTAGGAACTCTATAAACCCGATGAGTAAATGCCACAGGATGGAAAAGATATAGGGCCATGGTTTCACGATCTTTTTGTTTGGGGCACAGTAGGCTGTGAAGAGTTGTCTCCCTTGTTGCCAGAGTTTGAATCCCAGATTGACTCCGATTATGACCCTTAGTCTGTCAGTACCATACCTCATCACTCATTCAATTATGCTAAATCAAATAAAATCAAAATGTTACTCATTTGTAGTGATTTGGTTGATGTTGAATTGATATACATGTAGAGGGTATCTTTAAGATATCTGAATCTGTTTAAAAAAATCATTGCAAATCAAATAAGGATGAGTAAAACTGTCATATTCTCTTATTGACAGTTACAAAAACAGGAATTACATCTTAAAATGATCATCTGATTCCACATTGGTTTCTTTGTTTGAAAGAAAATTAGGTGAAATTTGGGTTTTTATATAGTTTGTTTCTTTTTAACTTATTAACAATTGTTGTCTTCACAGCTGGACTCGACTACATCGCAGTCAACAAGAATCTCGACTTCGCCCCTGGCGTGACAATGCAGACAGTCCGTATCACTGTGCTGGATGACCTTGGCAAGCCAAGGTTAGAGGGCACAGAGACCTTCCAGGTCGTGCTGCGTATGCCCATGGCGGCCATGTTGGGAGAACCAAGCAACTCTGTTATTATGATCAATGATTCCTACTCTGATGGTAAGTTGAAGTAATGCATGAACATTATCTTACTTCATAGAAGGGGGCATGGGTGGCAATGTTGCCTCCCTTGGGCACGCCAGAATCCTATTTGCCCTAAATATGTTTCTAGGTCTGTCAGCACCATACCCGTGCTCATTGGTTTCACCAAAGTGGTAAACCCCTTACCACATTAAGTTGACATGTCATAATCCAACTGGAAATTGTTCAAATCAGCATTGAACCCAATTCATGCACTCACTAACTTAATAGGACCGCCTCCGTGGTCTTGTGGTAGAGCGTCCGCCCGGAGAGCGGAAGGTCCAGGGTTTGATCCCGGGCCGCGTCATACAAAAAGACGTTAAAAGATTGTACTTGTAACAACCCTGTCTGGCGCTCGGCATTAAGGGGCTAAAACAAGGACTGGTCGGCTCGGAGTCAGTATACTGTCTCTGAGTGGGGTATTCATGTTAAACTGCGGCATGGTATCTCAGTGAGCTAGCACTATAAATCGGCATCAGTCCGGACTAGTACAAGCAGCCACACACACACATACACGTGCATGCACGTCGCTATATAAGTGCAATAATCTTGGACGCGACGTTAAACCCAATTTCACCTCACCTCACCTCACCTCACCTCACCTCACTAACTTAATAGAGTATGTGTTTCAGCAATAAGCCATACTTAAGACATCAATGTTTGTGGTCAAGGTTATAACTAAAATGAGTATGTTTTCTTGGGTCACTGGTGGCCGTGTGACCTGGGCAGCTGCATTTCACTTTGCAGAGTTGTGTCCCTTAGTGGTACCAGTATCTTAAGATCCATGATAATGATACTTGGTTTGCCAGCACCTGCTCATTCTCAAGGATTCCACAAAGATGTTTAACATTGTGAAAGACATATCCCTTGGACTTTCTTCCAACATGAAGCTGACAAGGGTTATACTGTTCCAAATGACGTTAAATCCAACTCACTCACCGTTTCCTTTGGATCGTGATTTAAGATCATTGTACTGAATCTATGTGAGTCATTAAAAGTAGCGGAAACCTGTGTACTGAAGAAAAACAATTTTGAGGTCACCATCTGCTTCATTCACGATTTAGTGTTGTTTTTTGAAAACTGTTTGTTTTCTCAGTTGTCGTCTTGCAGGTGCATCGTGGGAGTTCAAAATATTCGTTTCTGAAATTTGCGTTACTGTAACAACAAAACTGCTGTCATGTTTCAACCACCGACGCATGTGCATTTGCGATACAGAAACACTGCCATGTAATGATTCATTAGATTTCATGTGAATCTATTTTTTATAGCAATTTGTGTAGCAATTTGGGCTTGTTACAGAAATTAGTTTTGGGAATGGAAGTTAAAATACATGCTGGTAGAGCAATAGCTACATCCATGAGAATGGCATGACATTTATTTTTCGTTGCCGACATAACTGTTATTGAGACAACACCTGCTATTGAGACATTGTCAAAACACACAGAATCTGATTTGATGTAACTAAATGGTTACGCAGCCAACATATGCTTATGCTGGTACTCCTTGCACTCACTCACCCCAAAGCATTTTGATAGATATGGCCCCATAGGTCTTCAGCAACCCATGCTTGTTGTAAAAGGTGACTATGCTTGTCGTAAGAGGCGACTAACGGGATCAGGTGGTCGGGCTCGCTGACTTGGTTGATGCATATCATCAATCCCAAATACGTGGATTGATGCTCATGATATCAATCACTGGATTGTCTGGTCCAGACTCGATTATTTACTGACTACCGTCATATAGTTGGAATATTGCTGAGTGCGGCATTAAACAACAAAACAACAACAAGATATTGCACCTGTAGGGATTTGGGTTAGAATTGCTCCCAGGCAACTTCTGCCAGTCGTAAGAGGCGACTTATGGATTGGGTGGTCAGGCTCAGTGACTTGGTTGACTGAATGTCATTGTATCCCAATTGGGGGAATTGATGCTCATGATGTCAATCACTGGATTGTCTGGTCCAGATTTTGATTATTAACAGGCAGCTGTCACATAGCTGGAACATGCTGAGTACAGCATTAAACAACAACCAAACAAATTCGATAGATGGCTGGCCCCCTTTATGTAGCTCACCTGGCTTGAAGGGCAGTTCGATCTCATTGATGGAGGTCCTTCAGTGTAGCAGCAATTGTTTCTGACTTTATATTTTCCAGGTCACAATTTAAGAAAATGGTTTTCATCACAAAGACTATTGTTACGCCTATACTTCAACATTGACTTCAACTGGCATTAGCACTAAGATTACTTTGTGCATCTGGTCATAGAAGTGGTTGATGTATAAAGCTGCAACCTTGAGATAAATGGTTGCAGTTTGTTTAAGGCTTCAAAAATTTTGAAATTAAGTAGACCTACCAACCAACAATCTTCACATGATTACAACATGTGAAATATTGATTAAAGCAGCAATAAGTCTCTTTAACTGAATATCCACTTCTTTGATTTGTTTAATGTGAAATGTAAAAGCAGTAATATTGAATATTGTGAAGACACTACAAACAACCCATTATCTTTCAGTTCCTTCCATGCAATTCAAGGACAGCAAGTATGAAAGTTTTGAGAATGATGGCACCGTCAAGGCATTTGTGGTGAGATCGGGTGATGCAAGTCACGTGTCAACCGTTCGTTGCTACACGCGTCAGGATACTGCCAAGGTCATGGACGACTATTTTGAGAGGCCTAACACCAATGCTTCCGTGATTACTTTCATGCCAGGTAAGACTCTTGTTAGCTCAGACGTTTTGGAACTTGTCTTTAAAATAGTAACATGTTAGTAACTAGTAACCTTTGGTATACATTAATATGTCTTCTGGAAATGTCTTTATGTGAAAAGATCTGGGGTAGAATAGGTCTTCAGAAACCCATGCTTGCCATAAAAGGCGACTATGCTTGTCGTAAGAGGTGACTAACGGGATCAGGTGGTCAGGCTCGCTGACTTGGTTGATGCATATTATCTATCCCAATTGCGTGGATTGATGCTCGTGATATCAATCACTGGATTGTCTGGTCCAGACTCGATTATTTACCGCCCGCCATCATGTAGCTGAAATATTGCTGAGTGCTGCGTTAAACAACAAAACAACAACAACAACAAGAAATTGCCCCGTGGGGATTTTGGGTTAGAATTGCTTCCCAGCATCTTCTGCCAGTCATAAGAGGCGACGTATGGCTTTGGTGGTCAGGCTCAGTGACTTTGTTGATTGAATGTCATTGTATCCCAATTGGGGGATTGATGCTCATGATGTCAGTCACTGGATTGTCTGGTCCAGACTCGATTATATACAGACCGCCGTCATATAGCTGGAATATTGCTGAGTGCGGCCTTAATCAGCAAACTTATACTAATGCTTTATGTGAAAATATGTTGAAAATATAATGATGTTCCAAACATATCAATGATGCATGTTCATGTGAAACATGTCGGCATGTTGTGAAAGAGTTAATGATAAGAAGAAGACTGCATTGCTTCACTATTAGCCTGAGAATACTTCCAGCAATACTTTGTGGGATGGCCCAGTGGTGGTTGTGTTTGAGCTTCATGCTCAAATCTCAGGTTTATTCAGTAAACCTATTCTTTGTGTTCCTGTCCTCAAATATTGCTAAGGGGCAGTGGGGTAGCCTAATGGTTAAAGCGTTTGCTCGTCACATCGAAGACCTGGGTTCGATTCCCCACATGGGTACAGTGTGTGAAGCCAATTTCTGGTGTTCCCTGCCATGATATTGCTGGAATATTGCTAAAAGTTGCGTAAATCCAAACTCACTCACCCACTCAAATATTTCTTAAAGTGTAAATCAGTATTCGTGTACTCTTCACCATATTCAGGTGATATCCATTCAGGATTAAAGAAGGTCTCCATTTGAGAATCCACACCATGGGAACTCCGAGTGAGTGAGTTCGGTTTAATGCCGCTTTTAACTGTATTCCAGTTATATCACGGCATGTCAGCCTAATGTGGGATGAAAGCCCCAAGTGATGCAGGTCTCAGATGTTAACCACTTCGGTGAAACCCACGAGCACGGGTATGGTGCTGACAAACCTAGAAACATAATCAGGGCGAAGCGGGATTTGAACCCACAATCATAGGTTTCTGGCGTGCCCAAGGGACGCAACACTGCACCGCGAATTGTGGCGCTTTAGACGACTTGGCCACCCGTGCCTCCATGGGAATTCCGAGTTAGAATAAATCACCAGCAACTAGTGATGGTCGTTACAGGTAACCATATTTTTTACCTGGTCAATAGGGTGTCGATGTTTATAGTGTGTCATTGTATCTCGACAGTGTGGATCGTTGTTCACAATATCAATCACTGGATTGTCTGAGCCGGACTCGAAATTTACAGTCTGCCATCACATAGCTAGAATAATCCTGTTTGCGGCTATAAACAATTACCAATCATAAAAATCCAACAGTTTTTTTTATGTCTTCAGGTAGCGATGCAGAAAAGTTGAAATCTATATTCTGAGAAAATATCCTTTCCCAAAATATCAGTCATCAAAACCTTGTTCCAAGTGAAACCAGCTGAATAATTGCTTGGGAGTATTTCTGGCGCTCTTTCCAACTGAATGTTCATCTCAAAGAAAATTTGGCAGACTATATTTATTCTGCATTATTATATCCTCTTCCTTGTGTATTTCGTCCAGACAAAACAAAGAGAATACTGACGATCAGCAGAAAACCTATTTACCTTGCCACAAACTATAATGTTGCTTATGACATTCAGCATATGCTATGCGTTTTTCCTCGTAATAACATCTTTGTTTAAACGTGGTGGAAGACAAAAGAGAAATTTGGGGATCTTTGTTTCTGATGAAAACAATATCATGTTGAGCGTACGCTGACAGGACATATGCTGCTTAGATCTCTTTGCTTCAAAAACACCATGCAGCTTCCCTCCCACTGTGTGGACAAAAAAAATGGCTTCTGAAGTACAAGTCACGTGTGTCAGGATCCGCCCTGCTGGAAAGCGAAAACATTAAGATCAGTGTCCGAGTAAGACACCTACGTTTGTTCTGGCAACGGTTAGATAATGAGTTGTGCAAACCGAGGGGAAGTAGTATGTTAGGACAACAGGGAAGTGACATTTCGTTTGAGGAATGGGAAGCACCTGTTGCAATCATCACAGACTTCCTACTGCTTGGTGGAAGACTAATTAGGTGTATGTGCATTTGTACAATAACATGGCAAAGGAAATTAGGAACAAAGGGAAATATGTAAACAATATTTCTGGTCTATAAAGTAGGTATGCCTAGGTTTATTTCTTATTTTCTTGATCAATTTCCTAAGAACTTTTTTTTTTAAGAGTAGGCAAACAAATGAATTCTCAGGGTTGGTTTGAGGTTATTTCCTTATCTTATGAGTAAAATATATCTTCAAATAAAATTTTGACTATTATTACAATCAAACCACATTTATTTTATTTTATTTATTGTTTTTTGTGAGATTAAGGACAGGCAAATCTGTTAACTAAGAAATTGGTGAGGCTATGAGTATTATTGAAACTGTTATAAATTTTGCAGAGATGACTTATTCTTTTGTAATATGTGGTTCTACATCCCCAAAGACCCATGAAGATCCAGGGTAGAATAGGTCTTCAGCAACCCATGCTTGCCGTAAGAGGCGACTAACAGGATCGGGTGGTCAGACTCGCTGTCTTGGTTGATGATGCATGTCATCCTATCCTGATTGTGTGGATCTATGCTCATGAAGTCAATCACAGGATTGTCTGGTCCAGACTCGATTATTTACAGACCGCCGTCATATACCTGGAATATTGCTGAGCAAGGCGTTAAACAACAAACAAACAAATGCAAACTGATAATGTAAAACAACCATTACCACCGAACTGTCTTTCCACACCATCAATCACCTTGCCTTTAAAAAATAAGACAAACATGATTTGCTTCCAGAGCAACTGTTTTGCTTTCAAAAGAGAATGGAGCAATGAATGCAACCTGATCGCTGTGTAATAATGCAAACGTGCAGACCCAAATGTTCCGAGTGCAGGAAGTGGCAGAATGTGCACTTTTTCATGCCAAAAATGCAGTTTGGTGAGATATATGTGTGTTGTTGCTGTTCAGCAGCATTTACCAAGCAAATGTTACCCTGAGATATGCTGAAAAAACTACCTGGAGTTTGATTTAAAAAAATTCCAGCTAATTATTGTTTTTGAGGGGTATTACTTCTATGTATCTGTACTATAAACATGAACCTTACAAACATATTTACTCACTATTTTTTTGGTGTTTGAAAGTCCAGTTTTTAAAATTGAAATTATCTTTTTAAATATATTTATTGATATTAGAAAAGTGAAATGTCAAAATATTTTTAAGTATTGTCTAAGGGTATGAGGGTATGACATTATTATATTGATCTGAATATTATTATACCCCCCACCTAAAAGGGTAGGGATTATGATTATACCAAAGAATTCTGTCAGTCCGTCCGTCCGAGGACATTTTTTTGTGTGACCTAGAACTTGGAAAATACTACATAGATTCTTTTCAAACTTGGTGTAGGAGAGGTGCAGTGCAAAGTTTGATTTCAATATTTGGATTTCCTGAAAAATACAGCTTTTTTTCCCCATTGTTTTTATTTAGAATTTGTTTACTAAAATATTTGTGCGTCCTATAATTAGAAAACAACTTCATGGATTCTTTCCAATTTAGTGAACCATACTAATTTCCATACTAATCAAAGCGGTGCAGTGGCAAGGTTATTTTTAGTATGTGTATTTTCTGAAAACAAAAAATGATTTTTTTCATGTTTTGAACTTAGAATATTTTATTTCTTCAACATTTATGCGAACTATAACTTAAAAACTACTTCATGGATTTTTCCAATTGGGTTTCCATACAGTTTTCATACCAAATGGAGAGATGCAGTGCAAAGGTTGATTTTGACAAGTGGATTTTCTAAGAAAATATTGCTTTTTTCATGTTTTGAACTTAGAAATATGTTGGTGTCAGGGGTATTAGTGAGCCTGCTCACCTTTTGTCTTAGTTCTTCTTGTGAAGGCTTTTAGTTTATATGTATTTCACCGAAAAATGCTTGTTGAATGATAATTTCAGATTAACCGAAGAAGTCAATATAATGTTTTTTGATAATTTAAAATATTTTCATCGATCCGTATCACAATATGACTGAGGTGGTGTTAACTTCATCTAAATTAGAGCTATCTTAAAAACATAAACATGTATGACAGACGAGTTTGCTTTAAGCTTTTTCAAACATATTTTGATTTAATATCTTCAAATATTTTATCTGACGGATAATGGTTTCAGCTGCTGTTCACACAAGTTGATGTAGGATGTTATAGTGTTTATTGCATCAGGCAGATTCATCTACATCCTTGTATACACACAGATGTGTATGCAAACAACATCAGATCTGTCAGGACCATCAACAATTTGTTCTGAAGTTTATAACTGTTTGCGGAGACCTTCAGATAATAGGGGAAGTGGCAAGATAGACTAACTGTCTCTCTGAATTCCTGCGAGTATCTTTATGTTTATAGCACACCGAACCTTTCATAGGATGTGGAAATAAATGGCTTACACATTTGAGCGGCACACTGTGGAGGATCTTTGTCAGTCTTTGTTTTCAAACTCAACAAGATGGAAAACAGATGTAGTTAAAGCCAAAACACAGCTCTCTTTATTTCACTGAAGAATGGTATTGACATTACCGTATTGGACATATTTCATGCTCTGACTGCTATTGACATTACCTTGGTTGACATATTTCATGTTCTGACTGCTATTGACATTACCGTATTGGACATATTTCATGCTCTGACTGCTATTGACATTACCGTATTGGACATATTTTATGTTCTGACTGCTATTGACATTACCTTATTGACATATTTCATGTTCTGACTGCTATTGACATTACCTTATTGACATATTTCATGCTCTGACTGCTATTGACATTACCGTATTGGACATATTTCATGCTCTGACTGCTACTGACATTACCTTATTGACATATTTCATGCTCTGACTGCTATTGACATTACCGTATTGGACATATTTCATGCTCTGACTGCTATTGACATTACCGTATTGGACATATTTCATGCTCTGACTGCTATTGACATTACCGTATTGGACATATTTCATGCTCTGACTGCTATTGACATTACCGTATTTGACAAACGTGGTCAATAAAAGTATGAAATTTGATAAAAAAAACATCACTAGACAGATGATTTGCCATTTACAATGTATTTCCTGCTCTCCAAGGCTTTGTTTTATCAAGTTGGTTGATTGCGTGTCACCGCACCCCGACGACATGAATCATTTCTCACAATATCAATCACTGAACTGTCTGGCCCAGATTCAATTATTAACTAGTCGCCATCATATGGCAGAATATTGCTGAGTTCTGCATTAAACAACCAAACAACAATGTAATATTAATCACAACTTTGCCGTGACCAGACTTGATTATTTATTGGCTGCCATCATATTGCTGAGTGCTGCATTAAACAACAAACATGCTTAGATAAGAACTCTTGTGATGATAATAGTTGTGACTTTTGAGGTCATCATCAAATCCTCTGGTTGCTACAGGCCTTGCATTCCAGAAAACAGCCTCTGCTCTCTTCAAGGTTCTGTTATTCTTGATGCCAAATTTGGTAACTATGGTAATCTGGATTAGGATGTCGTTTGCCCGCCTGGCTGTAGAAATCATTATATTAGGCCAAAGATGAGAAGTCCTCCTCTCTTGGTGGGATGTATGTTTACATGGAACATGTGTGTGGGGGAATGAATTACTCCTTTGTGTTTGCTTCAGAAATAAATCTTAAAAAAACTTTGCCAACATATGGTTGGTTTCAGTTGCAGGAATTTTACACGAAGGAAAGAAATTGCATCCTTTGTTTTTGTGTATAATGTGATGATAAAAATGGATCCAATGCTTCATCCATAATTTATGAATGTATAGTTTTATAGAATGAATCATTTGTACAGCGATGGGAATGATACCTCATTGGTCTTTAGGAGTGGATTGGATACATGCGAAAAATACTTTGATTACAGTGAGTGAGTGTGTGAGTTGGGTTTAACGCCGCTTTTAACAGTATTCCAGTTATATTGCAGAGTGTTAGCTTAATGTGGGAGGAAAGCCCGATGTGATGCAGGTCTCAGACGTTTACCACTTTGGTGAAACCCACAAGCACGGGTATGGTGCTGATGAACCTAGAAACATAATCGGGGCAAACCGGGATTCGAACCCACAATCATAGGTTTCTGGCGTGCCCAAGGGACGCAACTCTGCACAGCAAATCGCGAGGCCTTAGACTACTGGGCCACCCTTGCCCCCACTTTGATTAAATGTAAGAAAACATTTTCGGCCACTTTTATGAAAAAACAATATGTGTTAGTATGGGGCAGATAAATAAAATTTATGTATTAAAAAAGGCTGAAAAAATCATTTGCAGTCCATGGAATCCAGGAAGATAAAATGGATGACTGTAGGGAAAGTACCACCAGTATCTTCATTCACACACATAATTTAGCCAAACTATACAGTGGTGATCATAGAAACCAATTTAATCCATTTAGAAAAGAATATATGTTTATTCAAATTATTAATGTCATTTTGTTACTTTCAAGGTGAATACGAAAAGATCTGTGAAGTTCGTCTGACCAATGACAGCATCTATGAGGAGGACGAGAAGTTCCGCCTAGTACTTGGCAACCCGCTCAGTCCAGGGTTTGGTATCGCCAAGATTGGAGAGAAGAACTTCACAACCATCACAGTCAAGGACAATGGAGATAGTGAGTTGACTAGATAGTGTTGTCCTTACAACAATAAACATACTGTTTTGATGGCTGGTATAAACCAGTGTTAAAAATCTCCCGATTTATACATATAACTTGTGAGACCTCCAACATTGAATGCACTATATGCTTCTAGGTTTCAAAATACATTTTAAGCCCAATTACTGTATACATGCAGCCATCATTCCACATGATGTCAGGGAATGGTGGAGAACAGTCTTCAGTTCTTACTTGGGACTGAGGTTTGGGTGGTCAGTGTGGTTTATGGCATATAGCACATACGTCTTCCATGTTAGACGTGTAGTATAGAAACATCACTTTAAACTCTCATGGTACAGATTGGGTTGCTCACATTTAGACCAGATTCTCTTTTTGGGGGTTTATGGATTTTGATAGTGAAAGATTTGGTCAGTAGATAGAAAAATTTTACAAATAAAATGCATGGTACAGGAATTTTTTAAGCTTCTTAATAATAAATTGATAAATAATAATCTGGCCCTGGTTGTTGTTGTTGTTGTTATTATTATTGTTGTTGTTATTTTCTGACAGCGCCATTTCAATTGCCATTTATTGTCAAAGCAATCTTGACCGTCGGTGATAAATACCCGTCATTTTGATTTTTTTTACCTAATATATAGGAAGTTTCTTAATTATAATACATCCTCTCACGCTCATCTGCACATCTGTTTTGGCAGAACGATCATTACAGAAAGTAATGTCGGAAAAACAACCGTAATGTCATTTGTAGCAGTCAGCGTAACGAGTCTGTTTATTACCCCTGTGAGTGAAATATGTATGAGAACGTGCATAATGGAGGGTACACCTCAGTTTCACAGTCTCTTGTATTGGGGAAGTGCCAGGTTCGAGAAGCTTGTAAAGTTTATCACAGGAAAAATCAGCCCAAACTCAATTATCTTTTATTTTGTTTGGCTGCTATTGGTATGTGAAAAAAAAAAGGATGAACTTTGAGATAAGTCGCGACACATGAATGTTATGGCTTTAGTTTTGATTGAAATGTTCACATGCAATCTACACAAACAAAACTACATGGTGGAGGATTGATGCAACACAATGGAAATTTTCACACCTGGGTCAACCTGTATATTAACCAAAGATCATGTAACTATAACAAAGAATAACACGCTTTATCATACCTCCATGGCAGAATGATGAGATCTGATTGGTACTTGCGATATTGATGAAACTGTGTAGGGCGGTCGGGTAGCCTTGTGGTTAAAGCGTTCGCTTGTCACGCCGAAGACCCGGGTTCGATTCCCGACATGGGTACAATGTCTGAAGCCTATTTCTGGTGTCCCCCGCCATGATATTGCTGGAATATTGCTAAAAGCGGCGTAAAATCATACTCACTCACTGAAACTGTGTAACCCGCCTTGGAGTGTAATAAATTTCTCAGCGGAGGAATAGATCTCTTATACCCCGCCACGAGCAAGTCAGGTTGCACGTGAATTTCTGAGAGGCAGAAGCAAAAAGTAGAACGCTTTTCCCAAGTCAATGAAAATCACATAACTCAGCTCAATCGAACAACTGTTTTCTATAAATTTTGAATTTGTTGGAATTCTTTTACAATGTTATATCGAAACATGTTGGTAAGATAAATTCATTGTAGCAGGATCCCTCAGGGTACATGGGGTTTTATGTGTCCCTCTTTAGGTTTTATACCACTCGCCTACAACTTATAATGGTTAATTTTGTATAAACTTTATTTAATTTTATTTTTAAAATGATTTCAATGTGTAAGCACATGTTTTTATAACCTCTGGTATGTCTGACCTTGATTATTTACAGGGTGCTGTGTGATATTACTGGAATACTGCTGACTGCAACGTTAAACAACAATCCAAACAAACAATGATATTACTATTGTATAACATTTGTTGTCCTTCAGAATCTGTGGTCATGTTTGAGAAGACCAAGTTTGTGGTGAAGGAGCCCATGTTTAAGGAAGAGACGTCCATCGTGAAGATACCAGTGATTCGTGTCGGAGACATAGGAGAGACGGCTGTCGTCACTGTCAACACCAAGGATGGATCAGCTGATGCTGGCAAAGACTACAATGGCATCTTCAAAGGTAGGTATCAGGGCGGTCGGGTAGCCTAGTGGTTTAAGCGTCCGCTCGTCACGCCGAAGACCCGGGTTTGATTCCCGACATGAGTACAATGTGTGATGCCAATTTCTGGTGTCCCCCGCCGTGATATTGCTGGAATATTGCTGAAAGCGGTGTAAAATCAAACTCACTCACTCAAAGGTATCAGATCATCAGCCTGTGTTTATTAATTCTGGAGATACACCTTATTACTTATGCCTATACATGTCACTGATATTAATAGGTTTAGTTAAAGTTTTTGAAGTGTAAACAATCATTGCGGCATATCTCGTGTTTTAGAGGTTTATTATTCAATGAATGTTTTACTTCAGTGCTGACATTTGGCAAAAATGTGTCGAGACAGGAAGTTGAGATCGAGATATTGCATGATGGGAAAAAGGAGATGAGAGAGGTATTCACTGTCCATCTCAAACACAAAAGTGGTGTCGCGGAGATCAAGGTGAGTGTCCCCTGTGGTGCACACTGTTCCAAACTAGACATGGTCGACAGTTGAAAAAACTTTTAATTTACTTCGAGGATATTGTACTTGATTTGTTAAATTTGTAGCAGAAACATAAACTTCTTCTTTTTAAATCTTACAAAATCATTTGAAAGAAGAAGAAATGCAAAAGATTTTGATAAACATTAACATTTTATATTTTTTTACATAACCTATCTCACACTATGCATAGTATATAAGTATACAACTCAATGTAAAATTTTCACTTTTGTAATTTTGTTGAGACTTTCATTTCCAGTGTATTTTTATTAAATTAACCTCAAGTCATCTCTGAAAATGTTTATATTCTTATGGCATAATTAGCAAGAAAATTAACCAATTAAACAAATTTTAAGCAGATTAGCGACTTCTGACTTCTGTTCCTCTTCTGTTTTCACATTTGTTCAATACAGTGTCTGACTGTTGAATTATTTTTTTCAGAATCCTAAAGTGATGGTGTTCATTGAGGAGAGAGTGAAAGTAGCTGATGTGACGTTCCCGTCACGCCCTGCTGTGGTGTCACTCCGAGACTATGACAGTGTCACCGACACCCTGCGCAGCCCCATACAGGGCTACCCTGTCGTCTGTGTTACAGTGAGTAGATGACAGCTTCACTGCTGATCCAGGGGGGTCAGGTAGCCTAGTGGTTAAAGCGTCCGCTCATCACGCCAAAGACACGGGTTCGATTCCCGACATGGGTACAATGTGTGAACCCCATTTCTGGTGTGCCCTGCCGTGATATTGCTGGAATATTGCTAAAAGCGGCATAAAACCATACTCACTCACTCAATCACTCACTCAACTACTGACCCAGGGTCCACTTGCACAAAGCAACCTTAGCCCTACGATGATCGTAACTTCCCTACTCTAACATAGATTTGCGATAGTCATAAGCTTTGATCACTTTGTGAAAATAGTCCCAGAGCCTTGTTCCACAAAGAGATATGAAATGCAACTATCTTAACACCCATACTTAAACATAGTCTTACAATATGATCACTTTGTGAAAATGGTTCCAGAGCCTTGTTCCACAGAAATATATTAAATACAGCTATCTTAGCTCCCATACGTTAACATAGGCTTACGATAGTCATAGTGCTATGATCACTTTGTGAAAATGGTTCCAGGGCCTTGTTCCACAAAGAGATCTTAAATACAGCTATCGTAATTCCCATACTAAAACAGACATGCTGCTTAATCGTGCCTAAAAGAGAATCAAAAATCTCTCCATATGACTGAAGGACTTCCTTATTGGGATTCAGGAGCAGAATCGGTCTCAGTATGTTTTTGTGATAAATCAGAGTTGAGTGGTAATAATGACTGCTTTTTTTTTTGCTGGATTACCATGAGAAACAACATTGTTGTACCCTGAATCTGTGGATTATTGCTTGTGTTATTGACTACTGACTTTTGGTTCCTCTGTCTTGATATTTTTAACAGTGGCAAAATTATTTGTTGGGTGGTTGGTTTGTTGTTTAACATCGCACTCAGCAATATTCCAGCTATATAACGGTGGTCTGTAAATAATCGAGTATGGACCAGACAATCCAGTGATTAATATCATGAGCATCGATCCACGCAAATTAGGATTGATGACATGCATCAACCAAGTCCAGTGAGCCTGACCACCCGATCCTGTTAGTTGCCTCTTACGACAAGCATAGTCGCCTTTTACGGCAAGCGTGGGTTGCTGAAGACTTGTTCTACCCCGGAATCTTCATGGATCGCAAAATAATTTGTATTGTTGCCCCTTAAACTACACTCTTGCTCTTCTCATGATCAATCGTGCAAACAAACCAATGCAAAGATATTGCTGGAAATATGCTTAAACCATGCTCACTCACTCAATCACAAAACAATGGTGAGTAGTATGAACTCAAGTGTATGACACCTCCTCCATGGTCTTGTGGTAGCTAGAGCCTCCACTTGGAAAGCAGAAGTTCGGGGGTTTGATCCCCGGCCTCAAATACCAAAAGACGTTAAAAGATGGTACTTGTTGTTACCCTGTCTGGCGCTCGGCATTAAGGGGCTAAAACAAGGACTGGTTGGCTCGATCAGTATACTGTGTCAGAGTGGGGTATTCATGTTAAACTGCGGCATGATATCTCAATTGGCTAGCACTATAATATCGGCATCAGTCTGGACTAGAACAAGCAGACACACACACACCCAGGTGCATGTACGTCACGATGCACAATGCTATAAAAATGCCATATAAGTGTAAAAAGACCCGTGAAGATTCCGAGGTAAAATAGGTCTTCAGCAACCCATACTTGCCGTAAAAGGCGACTATGCTTGTCGTAAAAGGCGACTAATGGGATCAGGTGATCAGGCTCACTGACTTGGTTGATGCATGTCATCGATCCCAATTGCGTGGATTGATGCTCATGATATTAATCACTGGATTGTCTGGTCAAGATTCGATTATTTACAGACCACCGTCATATAGCTGGAATATTGCTGAGTGCGGCGTAAAACAACAAACCAACCAATCAACCAACCAAGTGTAAAAATCTGAAACATGACATTAAACCCCATTTTACCTCACCTCATGTGCATGTTCTACAAGGTTCAAATAGCACTCTTTATTTCTACATATCTACTGGAAGTTTAAATGAGGCACAACAGCCTCACTGGAGGATGATATTGTCCTGTATCCCATTTCATGACTGTGCCTTCAATTACGCCAGAACTAAAGTGTAACATTGTTGGAACTTTGTATCACATTTCACAATGGAAACACTATCACTCCCATGTCAATGAAAACCTGTGGATTGGGAACTCAAGCCTTCATGAAGCCTGTATCCTGTAGACAGATTTTTTTGTAAACATGTAGAAAAACAAATATCTCAAAGGAAAACACAAAGAATGCATTCATTCTTGTTGGAAAATGTTCCCACACATTGCTCCCTCATGCAACTGTGATGGACTAGGTCATTTTTGTTACCAGCCACTTAAGTACAGGCAGGGTGGTCAAGCACCTGCTGAACTTGGACATTCCACAGTCTGTGGAACAGTCCCGCAACCATATTATTTTCTTTGCCATAGTACTTCTTTCCCTAAATAAAGCAAGACTATATTTATCCCTGAATAAAGCAAGTCCATATTTTCGACAGATTCGGAATCTCCTATCTCACTGGGGCTCCTTTTCAATTTAGATGGAGTTGTTTGGTTTTATCAGAATTATATATTTTTAGAGTTTTAAATGTTTGTTGTTTAACGCTGCACTCAGCAATATTCCAGCTATATGACGGGGGTCTGTAAATAATCAAATCTTGACCAGACAATCCAGTGATTGACATCATGAACATCTATGCAATTGGGATATGTTGACATGCATCAACCAAGTCAGTGAGCCTGACCAGCCGATCCCGTTAGTCGCCTCTTACGGCAAGCATGGGTTGCTGAAGACCTATTCTACCCCGAATCTTTATGCCTCTTTGGGAATGTAGAATATCCACATATTGCATATTATAAGTCATCTCTGAAAAAAAAAATATAAGTTTCAATAATACTCATAGCCCCGCCAATTTCCCTACTCTACAGAGTGCCTGCCCTTAATCTTACCAAAAATGATAAAAAAATAAAATAAATGTGTTTTTATTGATAGTGGCCTCTTACGACGAACATGGCAATTGTGATTCTAGGTTTGTCTGCACCATACCCGTGCTTGTGGGTTTCACCAAAGTGGTAAACGTCTGAGACCTGCATCACTTTGGGCTTTTCTCCCACATTATATTGACACACCGTGATATAACTGCTATACTGTTTAAAAGATGGTGTTAAACCCAAATCAATCACTCACTCACTCACTCACTCACTCACTCACTCACTCACTCACTCACTCACTCACTCACTCACTCACTCACTCACTCACTCACTCACTCACTGTATATCCCTCCCTCCTGTCTCCAGCCCTGCAACCCCAAACACCCAGACTTCCTGAAGACAGGAGAGCTCTGCTCCAAGGAAGGCATCAACAACACCCTGACTCTGTTCCGATGGCGGACCTCGGCACCCACGGGTGCGGATGGTGTGTCCAGTGACCTCAAAGACGTGTCATCCAACACTTACTTTGCATCTACTAAAGGCATCGCCCTGGACAGTATCTACTTCTCTGGTGGTAAGTCAATTCTTTATTGTACAACTTTCTCATTCTTTTTAGAGTAGGGACCATCTAAAAATATATAATCTCATTAATAATGGAAGTTATCCCAAATTTCCAAATATTTGCTCATTCAAAACAAATTCAATATATGCATGTTCCATATTTTTTGTTGAGGTCCAATAACCCCTCACAGTTCTAACTGCCAGGACCACTCAATTTCTTGTTAAGTAATTTTTGGAAGCATCTGAAACCATGATGGTTTTCAAATCTCAATTTATTTATCATAGTAGCTGTTGCAAAAACACATGTTTGTGTATGGCTGAAGGGGCGGTGGGGTAGCCTAGTGGTCAAAGCGTTGGCTAGTCACGCCAAAGACCCCAGATGGGTACAATGTGTGAAGCCCATTTTCCGGTGTCCCCCGCCGTGATATTGCTGGATTATTGCTAAAGCGGCATAAAACCATACTCACTCACTCACTCTTCAAAGAATCCTCATTTATGTAATTGACAGGCAACTACATGTTTATTTATGTAACTCATTCAGACATTGATATATGGATTTTTCATCCAACATAAATGTAACAAATTGATTTGATTAATATGATGAAACCAGCCTTTGACATGACCCCTGAGGCATGAGGTGGTTCAGATAGAATTCAATATGTCTGAACAATTCAGTTAATTGCTCCTTGAAGGGTGTCAGCATTGTCTGGTACTCACTAAAAGATGAGTGTTGTCTTGTGTTTCGGTCAAATGGTATTTGATATTACATCAAGATTATCTCGAGGCTTTCTGCAACTACTGGTTTGGTTTTATTAGAGCTTAACTGGCCATAAACATTCTCAGTGTTTCTTTCTGAGAAGGGTATGGGTGGCGTACAGGAAAACAGTTACTATGTATGTGACTCACGAAAATAAATGCTGTGATCCAGTAAAAATCTGGACAGTTTACGATGTTTCACATTTTACTGCCTTATGGAGCAGACCCTTGTCACTTTGTAACAACAATTATTACTTTTAGTCTTTAAATATTGAGAATATTTTTTAATGGCTGCTTATTTCCTTAAATATTTTGTGTGTATCTGTTATAAACTTTGATATGTTTTACATTTCCTGTGAAACCTCTTAGCTTATGAAGATGATGTCTTTTGAACATATCTTATAGATGTATGATTTTGATCATGTCCAAGTTTGTTGTTAAATTTAACCTTACAACAAGATTTTAACAAGTAAATTTATGACTTTTATTTTGTGTGAGTTTTGTGTTATCTTTCATAGAGTTAGCTTCAAACTACATATGAATGGCGAAGTTTGATTTCTGTGATCATAAACTGTGAAACTGATATAGTACGTATTTTATCCACAAATTGTGGAAGTAGTCTATAAGCTATTGACATCAAAATGTGTCATTCATACATCTATGCACATCAGTTTTGTGGTCATGTGATTGTTTCGGTAGTAAAATCATATAGGGTATGAACTTCACGTTATTATATTTCAGAGCCAAAAAACATGTTTGAATGAGGATTTTCTAGCCATACATTTTGTCCTAGACCAACCCTTTAATAGGCTCTGAAATTGTGTAGTTTTGATAGAAACAAGCAACTATATTTAAATTGATAAAGAACCTTAAACCATTAATTAACTTGTGGAAAATCTAGACTTTCTTCTTATAGGGCTGGGGGGCACGGGTGGCACAGTCGTCTAAGGCACCGCGATTCGCTGTGCAGAGTTGCGTCCCTGGGCATGCCAGAAAGCTATGATTGTGGGTTCGAATCCCGGTTCGCCCCGATTATGTTTCTATGTTTGTCAGCACCATACCCGTGCTCTTGGGTTTCACTTAAGTGGTACACGTCTCATACCTGCATCACTTCAGGCTTTCCTCCCACATTAAGCTGACACGCGATATAACTGGAATACTGTTAAAAGCGGCATTAAACCAAACTCACTCACTCACTCACTTCCTTCCTATGGGGCTATATATACATGCCAGGGCTGGGAGGAAGGGGAAGTATGGTTTGAGGGCTGTGAGACAGACTGATGTTTGTGTGTTCCAGGCAGCAGGATCCAGTGTGGAGCCCGTGCTGTCAACACCGACGGTGACCCCGGCCTCGAGCTCCTCAGTGAGCCGGTCACAGTCAACACCGACATGGGAATCTGTGAACCGCAGGAGATGAACTCCATTGGCGCCGAGCCATTTACAGCCAAAGTCCGATACACAGGTAGGTGCTGGGAGAGAACTTGTCTGATATTATATATTATATATTATATATTATATATTATATATTATATATTTATGACCAAAAATACATTTTCTTATCACTGAGCAATTGATTAACTGAGCTCAAGGGTCATGGTTCGATCCCAGGCCGCGTCATACCAAAAGACGTTAAATGATGGCACTTGTTACCCTGTCTGGCGCTTGGCATTAAGGGTCTAAAACAAGGACTGGTCGGCTCGGAGTCAGTATATTGTACACACGTCGCTGTATAAGTGCAATAATCTTGGACACAACGGACCTCACCTGTTCTACTAAACCATCTTAGTGTTAGATGATCGTAATTATCTTACTTTAACATAGGCTTTATGATAGTCATAGCGCTAAGAAATGGGGCCCTGGTGGAGATTTTGGTTCAGAGCGGGTCCCTTGGAACCAATGCTTGTCTTGTTGGTAATGATAATGTTGTGGATCGTTGCTCATGCTTTCAGTCACTGGTTTGCCGCAGTAATATATCTGGAATATTGCTGCCTGCTGTTGAAAAACATTTACTCACTCACTCTACTTGTTAACACAATATGCAGCAACTATAATATCAGATTTACAATGATGAACAGTTGACAAAGGATCAGTAATGTTTGTTTGTTTATTTGTTGTTTAACACCACACTCAGCAATATTCCAGCTATATGACAGCTGTCTGTAAATAATCGAGTCTGGACCAGACAATCCAGTGATGACATCATGAGCATTAATCAAGGCATGCATCAACCAAGTCAGCAAGCCTGACCACAGGATCCCGTTAGTCGCCTCTTACAACAAGCATGGGTTGCCTTTTACGTCAAGCATGGGTTGCTGAAGACCAGTTCTACCCCCGCTCTTCACTGGTTGATCAGTAATGACTGAAATCTTGAGCCACAAGCAGGGGTGACTAAAATGTGCTGTGCTCTTTAATCCAGGTCCGGATGATCCTAAGTACCCCAACAAGGTCCGTGTTGCCGTGACAGTCCCACACCGAGATGGCATGCTGCCGATAGTATCTACCCGACAACTGTCTAACTTCGAACTGACGCTGAGCCGAGACGGCACGCGTGTGGCCACACATCGTTGCTCCAACCTGCTCGACTTTGATGAGTACGAGACTGAGTATGGTTTCATCACCAACGCCACCAAGAACCCCAACATCATCGGCGAGACAGAGCCGTATCAGTACAGCGCAGACATCAGATCGAAACCAACCCTCAGGTTCTACAGGTAAGATCTCACATACTGTATTTAACATAAAAGATAATTACATGGTTCAGTACATTTCCAAATATAACAAACTCTGAAGGAAAGATCTTTCATCTTCTTATATCTCAAAGCGGAGAAGGGGCGGTCGAGTAGCCTAGTGATTAAAGCCTTGGCACGCCATGCCGAAGACCCGGGTTCGATTCCCGACATGGGTACAATGTGTCAAGCCCATTTCTGGTGTCCCCCGCCATGATATTGCTGGAATATTGCTAAAAGCGGCGTAAAACCATACTCACTCACTCAAAGGGGAGAACTTTTCTCTTTTGTTGATGGGATAATTTTAGGGAACGCTGTTTACCGTATTCAGCGCCCCACTCCAATAAACCCCCCCTGACCAACCTCTTCATCAATCTGTAATAAATCTTTATAAGAGCCTTGTACAAAGTTTTAAAAATTAACACGACAGTCCATATATTTTCATATGTGAATTCTTATGAATTATGATGATCTCTTATGTTTTCAGAAACCTGAACATGGACTCGTGTTTGTGGGAGTTCGTCAGCTACTATGACATGTCAGAGCTTACTACAGACTGCGGTGGAGAAATTAACACAGATGGACAGGTAACACAATTCGTTTACAGTAGGACTCGGGTGTGTCAGGCAACACTGAACTACTTTCCAACTACTGTCTGTAAATAAACAAGTCTGGACCACACAATCCAGTGATCAGCATCATGAGCATCAATATCCTCAAAAACAAGTTATCAACCAAGTCACTGAGCCAAACCACCCAATCCTCTTTGCCACCTCTTACAACTAGCATAGTTTGCCGGGGACTAGGGCTGGGACGAGTCCAAATTAACTACCCGGGTACCCATCTCCCTATTACCTGACCCTACCTGGGTACCCTCTGTAGGTCTCAAGAGATACAAAATGTCAGATTGAGGTTTTTTTTACCACAGCACTTGCAAAACGTATTAAGATACATGTATTAAACGATCTGGTCATGCATACACTGAAGTTGACTGAAGTTATATCTTTATTCAACCATATGAAAAGTCAGAAGGAATGGGTGCATAGGAAGAAAGAAATGCGAACATTAGTGACTTGTGGTGTAACCATAGAGTTCTAGATAATTTTTGTCATTAAACAATATATCACATGACTAACCACGGGTCCGGGTAGTCCTGTGGGTACCCGGGTCCTACTCAGTACCCACCCGACCCGGGTACCCGAGTTACCTGTCCCAGCCCTACCGGGGACCTTGTATTCTTACCCAGAATCCCCAGTGGTCTCTTCCCAATACATTTTACATTCAATATTGTGGTTACAAATGTATAATTAAAGAAGAATTTAATAAAATATTGGTCATGACATTTATTTTTAACATGGTGGACAGATTTTGATTCTGATAATGTTCAGCTAGTGGCATTGTGGGATTGTCTCCAGTATTTTGTCGTTGTAAGACCAAGTGGTTACAATGTGTCACCTGTCTGACTGTGTCATTGTACCTAGACAACATGAATCATTACTTATTATTACTTGTTATTATATTTAAACCATTGTGACAAGCTGAAATATTGCTGACTGGCATAAAACACTATTCACTCACTCACTCTTTCCTTTCATGGAGACATGTAAATTTGCTGAAGGTGTTAGCATACACCATACTTGATCGGGCTTACTTAATGATATTTGTTGTGAGTGAGTGAGTTGGGTTTAATGCTGCTTTGAACAGTATTCCAGGTTATCTAAAAGTGTTTCTGCTAAATTCAGGAAAGCCTGAAGTGATGTATGTCTCAGACTTTAACCACTTCGATGAAACAGACAAACACTGACAGACCTAGAAACATAATCAAGGCAAAACAGGGATTTGAACCCACAATCATAGGCTCCTGGCATGCCCAAGGGAAGCAACTCTGCATGGCGAATTGTGGTACTGGGCCACTCGTTTCACTCCTCAATTAATTTTTTGTCTTATGTATAAATAATGAATCTATTTTTCAATTAAGTTGCAGAAATTATAACTCCTGATTACAGGTGATGTTTTATCATTAGAAGATCTACTTTATATCCATTTATGGATTAGCTAGTTTAAACTTGAAACTATCTTGTGTTGCAGGTGCTGAATTCCAAGCAGTCATATGTATCGATGCGTGTACCGCTGTACGTGTCGTACATCTTCCACTCCCCTGTTGCCACCGGCGGCTGGACCCACTACGACATGCAGTCACAGTTACAGCTCACCTTCGTCTATGACACCGCCATCTTGTGGCAGAACGGAATTAGCTCCCCTGAGGGAGAGTCAGGACTTCAAGGTATTTTGGCCAAGGACAATGTCAAAGATTAAATATGTACAATGGAAATGTCAGATCTCAAATTGAAGTCTTGATGAATATGTGCACTTTAGATGAAGGCTTTTTTGGTTAAATATACAAAATATTTACTAACTACAGTAGAACACGGATAGAACAAACAAACAAACGGATTCAACGAACTGTTACAAAATCCCTGATTTATCTCCTCTTTATTATCATATAAGATATAGGTATATAACAAACTCTTTACAGCGAACTAACATATATAGCATACTGATATCCGATCCCCAACAAACCCAAATAACACTTATTAGTGACGTGTATAGCGAACTGAGAAATTTCACTCAGTGTCAAGTGTCACTGACAATTGACTGTACGCAATCAGCAGCGAATCAACACAATCAGCGGGGATGATTCAACATTGTTAAACCTGCTTCATGTTAATCCTACCTGTAATTGGACTAATCTTGTCTGTAAAACAAACATTAAACATATAAATTTCACGAGTGTCCGTTCACATTTACGAATCTTATGAAATGTTTTTAATTGAATGCTATCAAGTGATCTCTGTTATTTTAAGTCAATGCTGCAATTATGTATACTACTCAAAAGAAGTTAAGGATCACCTGATTCTTTCATATTACAATAGTTAATCTTTCATGCCATGACAGATTAACATTACCAATATGAAAGAATCGGGTGATCCTTAACTTCTTTTGAGTAGTATATTTTATATTATCCAGCGGAAGTTTCCAAGTGAAAACGAATATAACAAACTGGTTTCTTGAGTCCCTTGTAGTTCGTTCTATCCACGTTCTACTGTATTTCATTACATCTTTTATCGGTTTGGGCAAGGTGATAATGATAAAGTTGCAGATAGAATGTTTCTGCATTACCACACCACTCTAATGCACTCCCAACACTCTCTACACTGTAATTTGTTGTCAGGTTACCTGTACCCGACTACCATGAGGATTCGAGATGATGACCGCCTATCTGTCACATTCCGGACTGAGGCCAGATTCAGGGGACAGTTCGTTCTTGGACACAAAGGTAAGAGCAATGGTCCATTACCATGCACAGCTCATTGAAAACATAACTACTCTACAAACAGTAGGTCAATTTTTGGTTTACTTCTTCAGTTTGTCATTCAAACATTGTACAATTTCCTCGGCATAACGGAACTTGCATAAAAATATTCGCTCACAACAGATATTGAACAAAATTATGGTATTTCATAATATGTATGTTATAATAAAGAGGATAATATTTTGTTAATGATAACATGTTAACAGTACACAGCAAATAAGTATACCAAGTACTGTAAATCATGAAATTAATGCAAGTGCTGACCCCAAGCCATAAGATGCATCATGAAATTAATGCAAGTGCCGATCCCAAGCCTTGAGATTCATCATGAAATTATTGCAAGTGCCGACCCCAAGCCATAAGATGCATCATGAAATTATTGCAAGTGCCGCCCCCGAGCCTTGAGATTCATCATGAAATTAATGCGAGTGCCGACCCCAAGCCATAAGATGCATCATGAAATTATTGCAAGTGCCGCCCCCGAGCCATAAGATGCATCATGAAATTATTGCAAGTGCCGCCCCCAAGCCATAAGATGCATCATAAAATTAATGCAAGTGCCGACCCCAAGCCATAAGATGCATCATGAAATTAATGCGAGTGCCGACCCCTAGCCATAAGATGCATCATGAAATTATTGCAAGTGCCGCCCCCGAGCCATAAGATGCATCATGAAATTATTGCAAGTGCCGCCCCCGAGCCATAAGATGCATCATGAAATTAATGCGAGTGCCGACCCCAAGCCATAAGATGCATCATGAAATTATTGCAAGTGCCGAACCCTAGCCATAAGATGCATCATGAAATTATTGCAAGTGCCGCCCCCGAGCCATAAGATGCATCATGAAATTATTGCAAGTGCCGCCCCCGAGCCATAAGATGCATCATGAAATTAATGCAAGTGCCGCCCCCGAGCCATAAGATGCATCATGAAATTAATGCGAGTGCCGACCCCAAGCCAAAAGATGCATCATGAAATTAATGCGAGTGCCGACCCCAAGCCTTGAGATGCATCATGAAATTAATGCGAGTGCCGACCCCAAGCCATAAGATGCATCATGAAATTATTGCAAGTGCCGAACCCTAGCCATAAGATGCATCATGAAATTATTGCAAGTGCCGCCCCCGAGCCATAAGATGCATCATGAAATTATTGCAAGTGCCGCCCCCGAGCCATAAGATGCATCATGAAATTAATGCAAGTGCCGCCCCCGAGCCATAAGATGCATCATGAAATTAATGCGAGTGCCGACCCCAAGCCAAAAGATGCATCATGAAATTAATGCGAGTGCCGACCCCAAGCCTTGAGATTCATCAGGAAATTTTTGCAACTGCCCCTTGTGGAGCAGGCTGTCATCTTGCCGGGTCAATGTTACATATGCAGAATATGGGGATGAGATTAACATGGGTTTTGTTTTCCTCCGACTTCTGTTTCCAGTATAAGTATGTGGCAGTGGACCTGATGGGACACCAGCATGCCCAGACAAAAATGCGTCAGTTTATTATTACTGCAAAAAAGAGACGCTCACATTTTTCACATTAATTTCATGATTTACACTATCTTAGAATTCCTGTGTCCCCCTGGGGATTCAAGGTAAGAAGTGTCATCCCCAGTAACCTGTGCTGGTTGTAAGAGGCAACTTAATGGATTGGGTGATAAGACTTGGTGACTTGGTTGATTGTGTCATCGAAATGCAACATTGTGGGTCATTGCTCATAATATCAATCACTGGATCCAGACTCTATGTTTTACAGGCCGTCAACATTTAGCACGAATATAGCTCAGAGCTTTGATTAACAAACAAAAGAATGAACATACAATACCGGTGTAATTGCAGAGACAAAGTTGGAGTCCATGGTTACCTCCCCTGACCATCCATCGCTGACCTTCACCCTGAAGCTTATTCGAAGTGAACCTACCTTTGAGCAGCCAGAACAGCTCTGGGAGTTTGTGTCAGACTATGCTGTAAGTAAAGAATCACATGTGTTTGGCAGTGAATGTATGTGAATGAATTTTGAAGATGAATAATTTCTTGACAATTCTGTAATGATATGACTGGAATGTTACTTGTTATACTTAAAAGACAATGTGGTCATATTGTGCCTGAAATTTTACTGACTTGGCAAATAAACCCGAAACACTCAATAATGTATCCTGCCTTTTTCACTAAGTGCGATATATACTACTCCAAAGAAGTTAAAGAACACCCGTATATGTTCATATGACTGTAGTTAGTATATCATGGCTGGTGGGTATTGCATCACAAGGCCTTCCAATTTTGGGTATTCTTTAACTTGTTTTTAGTAGTATATATGTATATTTGTTTGTCTGTAGAGTAGCGTTATTATTATGATATTTGTGAATGCAGGCCCCTAGTTTACATTGGCAATACAAAATATCCATGTTGCATTGTTGTGAGCTGCAAAGACTCCTGCCAGTAACCAGGCTGCTGTGGCAGAATATGTCCCTAATGCTTGCCATAACGTAACAAGAAATGGGGTTAAACATTGCGATCAAGATTATTGCACTTGTATAGCGACGTGTGTGTGTGTTGTCTGTCTGTCCATCCATCCATCCATCCATCTATCCATTTGTCTGTCTGCTTGTGCTCGTCCCAACTATTGCCTGTTTTATAGTGCTAGCCAACTCAGACACAGTATACTGACTCTTGATTGACTAGTCCTTGTTCTATCCCCTTAATGACTAGCGCCAGGTAAGGTTACAACAAGTACCATCTTTTAACGTCTTTTGGTATGATGCGTCTGGGGATGGAACAACCGACCTCCCACTAGTCCACGGAGGCGGTAACTTGTCTTACGAGTCGACTATTGAGTTGACTATTGAGTCAACAATCTGTAGCCCTAGCTTTCTTCCAAAAAGTGAAAAAAAAGTCATCTACAGCCACTACGTTTCAATCATGGGCTAGGCCCATGAAGATCCGGGGCAGAATAGGTCTTCAGCAAACCATGCTTGTCGTAAAAGGCGACTAACGGGATCGGGTGGTCAGGCTCGCTGACTTGGTTGATGCATGTCATCGATCCCAATTGCGTGGATCGATGCGCATGTTATCAATCACTGGATTGTCTGGTCCAGACTCTATTATTTACAGACCGCCGTCATATAGCTGGAATATTGCTGAGTGCTGCGTTAAACAACAAACAAACAAATCATGGGCTGATGCAGTACGTGTTGAAAATACCCGCCTGCCAGACAGTCTGAGGCAGCCAATTTTGCTGACGGATGGTCAGTTTTGAAAACTTGCACGCCCAATGGTCAGGGGTTTAATAAACTTGACAATCCACCCATTTATTGTTATTATCAGCGAACTACTCGTAACATTGAACAGTACTAATCTTATATTTATCCTTTGTTACCTTTGTTCATTGGTCTAGAAAATTCTGGACTGGCAACATTTAATCTGGCCTAGTAACTTTACAATGTTGCCATTCTGGTTGTCTGACTGAAATTTGGGGGAATTTTATACACTGGCTAATGATCACTTGTTTGTGTGGCCCAGATCTGATTATTCGCTGTCAGCCGAAATATAGTTTCTTTATTGCTGACTATAGTTTCTTCATTGCTGACTGTGGCTTGAAATAATGTTTTGTAATTCGATGAACAGGTGCGTGACTACTCCGGTCTGTACAAGATCCAGCTCATCCCCTGCACAACGTCTATCAACCAAGAGTACTCCGTCCCGCCCATCTGCAACCCACGCAACCACCTCAACTTTGACCTCCCAATCAGGTTCCAGCAGGTCAGTGACCCAGTGCCCACCAAGTTCAGTCTGGACACAGACTTCCACCTGATGCGGAAGAGGGCGTTGTGGCTCGGAGACGGATCAATGGGCTTTGGGGACGAGACAGACCCGGCCTTCACACCTGGTAGGTTGACACACCTTCACACCTGGTATATTGACACACCTTCACACCTGGTAGGTCAACACATCTTCACCTGGTAGGTCGACACACCTTCACACCTGGTAGGTCAACACACCTTCACACCTGGTAGGTCGACACACCTTCACCTGGTAGGTTGACACCTTCACCTGGTAGGTTGGCACACCTTCACACCTGGTAGGTCAAGACACCTTCACATCTGGTAGGTTGACACGCCTTTACACCTTGTAGGTCGACACACCTTCACTTGGTAGGTCAACACACCTTCACACCTGGTAGGTCAACACACCTTCACCTGGTAGGTTGACACACCTTCACACCTGGTAGGTCAACACACCTTCACCTAGTAGGTTGACACATCTTCACACCTGGTAGGTTGACACACCTTTACACCTGGTAGGTTGACACACCTTTACACCTGGTAGGTCAACACAGCTTCACCTGGTAGGGTGACACACCTTCACCTGGTAGGTCAACACACCTTCACACCTGGTAGGTTGACACACCTTCACACCTGGAATGTCAACACACCTGGTGGGTCAACACACATTCACACCTGGTAGGTTGAGAGAACATTCTTAATGATGAACTCTGCTTGGACCATATGGCAATCATAGCAAGTTTGATTCAAGTAATTCAAAAAGTTAAGTTCAAGTTCTTCAAGTTCAAGACCTTGTCTGCAAACAAAAGTTTCAAGTTTCAGCTACTGAAATATTATATGTATATATGAGAATGGATTGTTGGTTGAGTCTTGTTCTTGAACTTATTCTAAAGCGTTTTGATATTTATTCAGAAATAAGGGGCACGGGTGGCCCATTCGTATAAGGTAGGGTTCGTTTCCGGAGCATAACTCATAAACCGTTCAATATTTTTTCATCAAACTTTGCAGGTCTGTCAGGTACATGCTGAACTGGTGCCTTTTGCTATTGAGAAATTTTAGAAATTTTTATTTTTTACGTTTCCATGGCAACAACATGGACTTCGGTTCTGTGAGGGTAGGGTTCGTTTCCGGAGCATAACTCATAAACCGTTCAATATTTTTTCATCAAACTTTGCAGGTCTGTCGGGTACATGCAGAACTGGTGCCTTTTGCTATTGAGAAATTTTAGAAATATTTATTTTTTACGTTTCCATGGCAACGAGATGGACTTAGGTTCCAAACTCATCTTTTTTTTACAATTTCCATGACAAGTTCCACCTCGGTTAAAAAAGGTTAGGGTTTGTTTAGATTTAATTATGTCATAAATTCTGCAACAGGGGCGGGGGATATAGCCACGTTAGTTGCAAACTCTTGTTGATGTTACTGTACAGCCTTGTCAGTGGATGTCAACAGTTGAATGCCATGCTACTACACATATCACCACATGTATACAACTTATGTACAACATGTATTCCGCAGCCGACAAGATCTACGGTCGGATCAATGTTGACCCTGTCCAGAACCTGGGCAGCTCGTTTGCTCTGACCATCGAGAAGGTGTTCCTGTGTTCTGGGAAGGACGGCTACATCCCCAAGTACGACCCCGCCAACAAGGAGTTCGGCTGTGTGGCAGAGAGCGAGAATCTGCAGCACGTCTTCAAGATTCTGGTAGGTCCAAGACTTTCATAGCATGTCACTTTTGTCACTTTTCAGCCTGGTACTCTTTGAGTGACATTATAGAAGTTTGAATCTATGAAGGGAAAAGATCAGGCCCCACTTGCACAAAGCGATCTTAGTGCTAAGACTATGGTAAGCCTATGTTAAAGTATGGGAGTTAAGATCATCTTAGCGCTAAGATTGCTTTGTGCAAGTGGTCCATGATAAGGAATATTACTCACATAATGAAAAAAATTGAAAAGTGTGCTTTTGAAGACATTCATTTTGCTAGCAAAAAACCTCATCATTGAGTTTCGATCTTGTGGTTACAATCAAGGTAAAAATCAGCAGTCCTGTTACTGTGAGCAGTTATATCTAGCATTGTGTGCAGTATATGTATATTACCAGCACAAAATGAAAGAGGAAAATGTGCAGATGTATTTTGAGTGCTATTGACCAAATTCAATACCAAATATAACCACCGCGCATTGTGAATAATATTCCTTATCACCGGAATGGCTTGTTCTCCCTTTGTGTAGATCAGCACACATGTAGCTATCCTTGTTAATTTATCATCACAATATTTCGTGATTCTATTTCAAGTGGTGAGGACAATAATAACTTTATTCTGGGATAAATGTGAGTTCAAGAGGATGCTGGGTAATGATGAAGTAATCATTTGTGACGTGTACCTTTACTTGATCTATCTGTGTACCAGGACAAGGGTGCCCCCTACACTCAGAAGGAGAGGTTCCGGGATATTCCTTTCAATGCCAGGCTAGCACTTGACAATGTGGACGCCACTGCGTTGGTCACACAGCCAGGAGCAGACGGCTTCTCTGTCGACTGTGAGCCATTGTTCAAGGTAGGCTACAGGTCTATCATGGGGTTAGATTATGAATATGTTTGGAAGCTTCACTGACCCGTGAAGATCCGGGGTAGAATAGGTCTTCAGCAACCTATGCTTGCCGTAAAAAGTGACTATGCTTGTCATAAGAGGCGACTAATGGGATTGGTTGGTCAGGCTCGCTGACTTGGTTGATGCATTTCATTGTATCCCAATTGTATGGATTGATGTTCATGATTTCAATCACTGGATTGTCTGGTCCAGATTTGATTGTTTACAGACCGCTGTCATATAGCTGAAAGATTGCTGAGTGTGGTGTTAAACAACAAACAAACAAACAAACAAAGAAGCTTCACTGCCGACAGCCGTTGTTCAAGGCAGGCTACAGGTCAATCATGGGTTTAGATTATTAATATGTTAAGAAGCTTCACTGTCGACTGTGAGCTAATAGATCAAAGACATTTTTCACTCGTGAATTTTTTGTCATTGTCATCAATGTTTAAGCTTTTTACGGTGGCTTTTATGTTAATACAGGGGTGATAGGGTAATCTAGAGGTTAAAGCATTAACTATTTTCACAAAAGCCCAGTGCTCCTTTGTTCAACAAGAATTACATTTATGAAGGTGTGATATTAGTGGGATATTGATGAAAGCAGCTCCAAACTCACTCACTCACTCACTCACTCATTGTTTTTGGCAGGTTGATGGAGGACGTCAATGGTTCTTGCATGCAATCTACACTGTCCGTTCCAAAGAAAATGCTGCTCGTGGAATCGGTAAAAGAAGTATTGAGTACCATGCTGTTATGGATGCCTCCCGTGTTAGACGAGACACGAGGGATGCTAACGGAATGGGCAAAGATGGAAAAGGAACTAACATGGCGCGTGTGGAACTTTCTGCCCTGGACGAGCAAGGCGTTCAAGAAGTTGGAACCAACGTAGAAAATGAATATCCAATTTTGTTAATCGTTATCATATCATGTATCGGTTTGTTATTATTAATCTGCATTTTAATCATCGTTATATGTATCGTTAGTCGTCGTAGGAAACACACGTCACCCCCACCGTCACCCACCAACACCATCGTGGTTGCTGGCAGTGCAGGGTCCTCGCGTGTCGTGGCGGCCCAGCACTTTAACAACGATAGGACTGAAGTGTAGCAGATTACGTCAAGTGTTACAATAATATCTACATTACATATGAGGAGTATTCTTTTTATTTGCTCAAACTGTCAAAATGGAACTGAAAGGAAAAAAATATATATAAAAGGAATATTAATTGTGAGAATTTTCTCAGATTCCATGTGAAAAAAACACTAAAGTAGATTATTCTATTCTCATTCCATTTAGAATTTGAAATATTGGAAGGATACGTAACTTTGCAAAGGACTCAATTGTTCAAAGAGTGATAAGTATAAGAACGACTAGTGCTATGTGAATTCGATACTTGATTGTTTCATTAAAAGTATTGTTTGTTCATTCGATACTTGATTGTTTCATTAAAAGTATTGTTTGTTCATTCGATACTTGATTGTTTCATTAAAAGTATTGTTTGTTCATTCGATACTTGATTGTTTCATTAAAAGTATTGTTTCTCCACTATGCACAGACATTAATGCCCGTATAGGCCAATCCATGGTGCTATCCAGTTTATACTAAATCCGCGTTTTTACAACTAACACCATAATTGTTTTTGTGAGATATTCTCCCATGTTGATAACACATTGCTTTTGAGCTTTGCTGTGATTTTCACTGACACAGCTAGTTAGGCTATGCTCAAAAGGGAGAAATTCATTACAAATGTTTTAAGATATTGATGACAGTGTATTAAATTGTTTTTATGTAAAATGTTCAAAATGACTCCAAGTAGTCTTCAACTAAGAAATCTGTTTTTCAAATTTTCAGTTATTTTGAAATGTTAATGTCAAAGCCAGTTTCAGTTAGATTTTATCCGTTTTTATCCAATTTACATGTCCTGCTTAAGGTGTAAATTTTTTTAGTTTTGTTCTGATATTACCGGTAATGTGTATATTGTGAAAACAAAGCATGGGTTAATAAATTTAAGATAATTTTGACTTAGACATTGTACGCAAATGTTTCTTTGGCAGCACAGAAACTGCAGATGGGAGCCTTTTTGTTTGGTGAAAAGATCTGCTTCCCTAGTGTGATATTTTATTTTTTGTTTTGAAGCAGGCATAAAATGCTGCCGTATGAGATGTTTGTCTATGCGATGATTCTTAAGAAGCACCTGTTGGTTGCTTATAACAAGGAGTGTCTGTAACCTATGACCAGCTATCTTGTGAGATGGTGAAATGTGTGTGAGCCTAGCTGCATTTAGTTAATCCCGTTCAGCGTTCCATCCTTTGTTTCTTTCAGCATCTTTGTTTTCGCATACAGTTTCACCCCGTTCTTTCAGATGTTTGTTCAGCATTGTCATAGTAACGATGATTTAACGGATGAATGATACACAGTGCGTGTACACTCACAACATTAACTATTTACACAAAATATGTTGGCCTTTGTTTCATTGATGTTAATGACATCAATAATTAAACAACGTTATCAAAAATATGTGTACACATTATTGGACAAGTAAACATTAATGGCCATCAAGTTAATAATTTACAATAACGAAATTAGCAAAATCATTCAAAAAATGTGAAGTTATCTTTTAATATTTTGTTGACTACAGTTGAAATTTTCAATGTTCCACTAACAACCCAACCATAAGTGAATATGATTTTTAATTTTATTAATTTTTAATAATCCCCGTTGATATGTCATAATGGATATGCAAGAAGATGTGCCTTATCAGAAACTGCCATATTGCATTATAATGCTGGTGGCCCAGTAAGCAGTGTCAGCTTGTCACGGACATGGTCTGTGTTTTATTCCCACATGAGCAGAAACTGTGGTGCCCTTGTGTCCCTTGTCTGCTTGTCATCATCTGATGAATGTACCGTAATTTTGCTGATACAGCTGAATCATGAAATGTCATGCTAAACATTATTTGTTAAAAACTATTTTAACATCGCTACTTACTGAATACTTAATGCAAGATGTTCAATTGTCACACAACAACGTTTCATTTTTGTGGAAAAAAATACCTTAAAATATGACATGATTTCTTATGTGAAGCACCTTTGTATGAAACTGATAATATCCTGTTTCATCAGCAATGCAGTTTGTTATACACAGTGTGATACTCATTATGTTCTGGTTGTGTTGCAAATGGGCTGTGGATGAGATGTTTTATTATATTATGTTCTGACTGCTTTGATAGGCTGTTACAAGTCTCAAACAGATTTTTAAAACTTTAAATTAGATCAATATTAACTAAAAAAAAACTTTTTGAAAAAGGGATGTTTCACCGATTTTATTTTAAAGATTTCTTTTGGTTTTAATTTTTTTTTTCAATTTGAATATAAAATATCTTAATTTTAAAAAAAATTGTATTTTTAAATTAACAAAAAAATTAAATCATAATTAGAATAAAATGTTGCCGTTCTTGAAAGACAACTCGGACAATATTATTTTTCTGTGAAGTCCTGTTGCATTTTTTTGGCCAAGAAAAATAATAGATCTGGACTTGAGTCATGATTTAGGAAATTTGAAACTGGTCAGAACAAGCATCAGTAAATGCTTTAGTTTAGCAAGGACATGTCTGAATGGTATTCTAGTGCGCGGGAATATTGGTAGAGTAGTTGTGGGTTGAGCCAGTGTGTTGTAGTGGGACCCAGCAACCCAGGAGAAGGTGCAACAACCATAAACCTACTTTTAAAGAGAATTTTATATATAAATCATTCATTCCAGTTGTGTCCTGCTAACTGGGATCCTTGTAAACATGGCTGAACAATGCTGGAACATAGAACACATGTATTATGTAAATGAAAATAATAAATCCAACTCAAAAGAAGTTAAAGAACACTTGACTCTTTCATATGACTATAGGTAATCTGTCATGATGTCTTTAACTTCTTTTGAGTAGTATGTATACTACTCAGTTTTTAAAAGGAATTGTCCAGGTGAGGTCTGAATGTGACCGACTCCTTTGGAGATGTTGCCATACTAATAGTATTCAATATCAGCATGGAATAGACATGTTTTCAGCTTTGTTTCATGTGAAATAAAAAGGTACACATTTCCGAAAGTTTTTATCTGCAACCTCTTGAGAATTTGGGTTGTATATTATTATAAGTACTTAGTAATAATAAATTTTGATAAAGTTTTGTATATGGTTTTGTGAAAGAGACTTGGTTTTGTACAACAATATTAGTTTTATGGGTAGTATTACAGTACAGTTCCACATTGATGCCATGGGTCCAGCTTTTAGTAGGACATGATAAATTATTTATTCTTCTTCATAACTGATCATTATTCAATTTAGTAAATTCAGATTCATATAAAAGGTAAGGAGAGGTTGCTTGGAAACAGTGGTAAAAGGGATGGCCAAGTTCATCGTTACTAATATTTTGATGTTGCCTATTTTGTTTAGGATTGGTGTGAATTACCTAGCAACTTATTGCATAATATGGAGATGTTTCTGAAATGATTATCCTAAGAACAATTATTCAGTTGTGTTTGAATTGATGTAAGTATTAACATAGACGTTTGTTATGTCTGTTTTAGTTAGCGAGTGATAATGAATGTGCCTACATCAAACCACATGTTTATAGCTCTCTTTTTTAATCAGCTTTTTTAAATAAACGCTTAACAAATGAAGACTTTTGATAATATTTGGAAAGAATTGTCATGAATTTTGAAGATTATGAACAACATGTATAAGTTGTTTATATTTATTAGTGATCATGTGTAGTGTTTTATATGTCTGGATGTTTTATTTCTTTCTTGTAATGATCTAAGTAGTATTTAGATTTCTGTAGCTGTTAGAACTACGACCGTAAGCAGTTCAATGTGAATAGATTTTTACTTGGATTGAGGAAGGTGTATATGAAGGTTAAACGATTTCAAACCGTAATGGAATTTCAAAACTTTTAGTATTTTATGAGAAAAGAAGAAAAATATATCATGATGAAACATATGAGATCTGAAAATTATTATTTTTCCTAGGGTACCAGAGACAGGATAGGGTTTCCCTGCAAGGCTCTCCAAGTGCATGGGTCAAGTTTAATAAATTTTACACAGTTATATAGGGGCGGTCGGGTAGCCTAGTGGTTAAATTGTTCGCTCGTCATGCCGAAGACCCGGGTTCGATTCCCGACATTTCTGGTGTCCCCCGCCGTGATATTGCTGGAATATTGCTAAAAGCGGCGTAAAACCATACTCACTCACTCACTCACTCACTCACTCACAGTAACATAACTGTCATAACGCCTAGACTTCAACATAACTCTATGACAGTCCTACAGCTCTGACTGCTTTATGAACCTGGACCCAGTTGTAATGCCAGATCAAGGTCAACACTAATGGGGGGGCACGGGTGGCCCAGTCGTCTAAGGCGCCGCAATTCGCTGTGCAGAGTTGCATCCCTTGGGCACGCCAGAAACCTATGATTGTGGGTTCGAATCCCGGTTCACCCCGATTATGTTTCTAGGTTTGTCATACCATACCCGTGCTCTTGGGTTTCACCGAAGTGGTAAACATCTAAGACCTGCATCACTTCGGGCTTTCCTCCCAGATTAAGTTGACACGCCGTGATATGACTGGAATACTGTTAAAAGCGGCGTTAACCCCAACTCACTCACTCACTCAACACTGATGGTCACACCCTATATCTCCGACTGTTGTACTGGCATATATGTATTACAAACATAAGGGACATAACTCTGCTTGCAGTGTGTCCGCTGAACCGTTTTTTAAACTGCAGATTATCAATATTAGATCTTATGATTATATAACTTGAGATTCCATTAACGGTGTAAGATTGAAACTAATACTACCTCCGATATTGCCATATCTCATATTGAAGTAATTACAAAAACCTGCCTCCTACATTTGTCATATTGTTTCACAGATCAGGGACTTGCCTTCAATGTGGCATAAGAAACTTCAAAATGTCAGTTAATATTTAGAAAGTAGAATCTATATACATTTATGATTTTTTACACTTGATCATAAATTATGACCAGTAATTAGTCCATTGTCATGAAGTTTCAGATGTATACAAGGACATGAAACTAATTTGTAAATCCTAGATTTAATGCGAGTCTGATCCCAGTTAGTGGTTAAAGTGTTCACTCGTCATGCTGAAGACCCGGGTTCAATTCCCGACATTGGTACAATGAGTGAAACCCATTTCTGGTGTCCCCAACCGTGATATTGCTGGAATAGCGGTGTTAAACCATACTCACTCACTCACTCACTCTTTTGGTTTGACGTGGATGGCAGTCCAACCCCAGACCTTCTGCTTTCTGGGCAGTGACTTGGGCACTAGACCACAGGCAGTTTGATTAAGAAAGGGGTCAAAGGGGTCTTGCAAATAATTATGTATATGTGTATGCATATGTATACACACTGGCATTAAATGAAGGATTTACAGCAGTTTGAATGCACCTGTTAACCGACTGAATATTCATAAGACTATAAGTTTGAACCTACAGTGATATGAATATTCAGGTATATATCTGGAACAGCATGGCAATAACTTGTGTAGTTCCTTAAACTTGACATCAGTGAAGTAATAAATTTGTCACTTTGTGTATATTTTAGATTTTGTTTCTGTATTAACGATCTCAGCCATTGTTTGCCACATTTTGATGAGGACATCTGGGAGTTAATTGCTTTTGTGATACATAACATCAGGCTATTTTTGTTTCTTGTGTTGGGCTTTTTTTTCTTATGACGAGACAGAAGACGAGAAAAAACAAAAACAAATGTCATGCTTGATTTGTTAATTCTTACATTTTTAAAAAAAGGGTAAAATAAATAATAAAGACAAAGTACAAATGTTTTTGAGAGTATATACCTTTTTATTCGTCTATTTTTATTACTCTTTAGGGTACTCGTTAATAAGACAACAGTTAAGTTGGTCTGGACTTGAAGTAGGTTTTGAGAATCAAATATAGGACGAATGTCAGTTTTCTTTATGAAAACAAAATATTCTTTTCTAGATGTTTTTTTCAGATTTGTCAAAGTTGTTAAAAAAGCACCTAACTCCCATCATCTACCTCTGAATATGTCCGTGTCATATTTATATTGTGTTCTGTTTTAGTCTGTCTCTCATGAACGACAACTCTATAGCCAGAAACATGTTAATTGTACGCCAGTACCCAAACCTACCTGTCAGGTCTGTTTTTCCGTGTTTCACAAGCATTTGAATGAGATTACAAAGTTCAGCAATGTTACAAATATTACAACCCTGATTCTGGATGTTTAGTTGCATTGTTACTTGTCTAACGGCCTTCAGTACAGTGTTGAAATATTGCAGTATTAGCAAGAAGTTTGTACAAATTGTTTCCTACTTTCTGTACTGTATATCATGGCTTTAAGTACTGATCTTGTTTGTGAGAATTAAGCATTGGCTTAGTCACATGTACAGTGCTCCTAAATGAGGTTTTAATAAAATACACAATGAATTTTTTGTTTCTGTTGTCATTATTAACTGAATGAGAGTGTGATGCAATCTGATTGGTTTAAAAACATGATTAAATGTAGAATGTTTTGAAACAGGCTTGTCTCTTTTCTTGAATCCAGAGGGGTGGCGGGGTAGCCTGGTGGTTAAAGCATTCCTTCTTTATGCCGATGACTTGTGTTCGATTCCCCACATTGGTGCAATGTATGAAGCCCATTCCTGGTGTCCCCCGCCATGATATTGCTGGAATATTGCTAAAAGTGACATAAAACCATACTCACTCACTCACTCACTCTTGAATCCAGGATAGTCTTGGAACCTGGCAGAATTCCATGTTTTCAGATAGGTATCCAACCACACTTGAAAAGTAGATAAGACAGCTCAGGTCTAAAAAGGACTTGAATTACCCTCTTGTCACGCTTATGTAGGTACTGCCTGCCTAACAGAACCTGTCCTATCCTGAAACTTCTCGAATGATCAAGCCTGTCATGGTTATTAACTACAAGGGGCAGTAACTCTAAATTCCGTTCATTTGCTTCCACTGACAGCTCTCAACATTTTACTGTGGCTTCAATCATTTGCTCCAACTGTCAATCACTACAAATAAACTTACAATCTCTACTTCCCCACAACAAAACGTAACCAGCATCCGATATCTGTTGTAAGAAGTGATTATGTCAACGATGATCAGTTCCACATGGAATATTAGTTCCATCCGAAACAAATATTTTCAGTGTACATTTATCTCGCCCAGTGACATTGGGCACGTTGAAGTGACTGTGAAGGTTGATTTATACCACGACGTGACACTGTGACCTACTCAATGTTTCTATGGTTGGTTACAGGTAGAACATGTTACTTTAGAGAGGAGCTAGGTGAATTAGTAACCAAACCAATTCGTAGCCATTCCCAGCTCGTAGACAAAATTTACGGTGAACTCGAAGACAAATGCAATACAGTGATGACAATAGAACTGAATAATGATTTATTAGACATAAATATTTAAGTGGCATATGTATTTCAAATCACTGATCTAAAGCAATTTCCCGGGACTGGTTGTTGCCTGCCTTTGTTATTGTTTTTTCCCGTGAGTACCCGGATGATATAGCAGAAACCTAGACTAGTTCGCGACCCGTGCTGCGCAATTCGTAAGCGTATTTGTCACTTTTATTGATAGTATAAGGGCGTATGGTTACATCTATGAACAAAATGAAATACAGTTTTGGAAATAATAAGGTACTGTAGGTATCTGTGTGGGTAGCATCGGTAATGGTGACGAACCTTTGATAAGTCACTTGCTTGGTAATTGTGCGATTGCACCACAAAATAAATATTTCTCCTGAGCATTGCTTATTTTATCGTGTTTATATTTTTTACAGTAAAAATGTGCAAAATTTTCACTTAGGAAATTTATTGAAAGCCTGAATATTCAGTTATTTTACAATTTGACTGGAAAATATGTCCATCTGTATTATTATGATAACGAATTCCAAACATTTTTATGTTTAAAAGTGTATTTGGTCTGTTGAGGCCGTTAGTATATTGGTGGCAGCCAGTTGAACGTGATAGGGGTCCAAATGGACACAAAACGAGTACTGATCAGTGATCAAGTTATTTTTACTTTACCCGACATGGGTACAATGTGTGAAGCTCATTTCTGGTGTCCCCCGCCGTGATATTACTGGAATATTGCTAAAAGCGGCGTAAAACCATACTCACTCACTCACTATTTTTACTTTAGAGAAAAGTACTTCCCAACCAATTCATGACCGCATGTCACAAGTATATGAGGATAATTGCCCAAGCTATTTCACTGTTAAACGTTGGGAAGCTATGTTTAAGGTTGGGAGAACAAGCCTTGATGATAACCCTAGGTCTGGACGTCCCATCAATGAAGGTTCAATCAAGGAGATGGAAAAACGTATACTGTCAGATAGACGTATTACTACCATTGCTGAACTTGAGGAAGACACAGGTCTAATCCATGGATCCATTGAAACTATTATTCATGAACATTTACAGATGAATAAGATATTTGCTCGTTGGGTGCGAACGTTTCTAAATTCTGACCTTAGGGAAAAAAGAACTGACATTGCCAGAGAAAATTTAAAGCTAATTGCGGAGGATTTCGTCAATTCAAAAAGAGATTAGTTACGGATGATGAAACATGGATCTACCACTGTCATCCCGAGTCAAAATGTCAATCCATGGAATGGAGCCATTCCAATTCTCCGGCACCAAAGAAATTTAAGTCTTCAAGATCAGTGAAAAATGTTATGGCCACTGTATTCTGGGATGCAAAGTAGAAAGTCAAAAGACGATTACCGGTGCCTACTATGCTGATTTGCTTCATCGCCTATCAAAGAAAAGCGACGAGGAATGAGGGCTGCTGTGCGACAATGAGGGTTCCAAAAGCTTCCTCACCCTCCATACTCGCCAGACCTGGCACCAAATGATTTCACCTGCTTCCTAAACTGAAAGAACACCTTCGTGCTATGACGACAATGATGACCTCAAAGCTGCCATGGATGGGTTTTTTTATGGTGGCATCAGAAAACTTCTCCCTGACTGGAATTGAAATGCTTCACTATCGATGTGAGAAGTGTATTGAAAAGCAGGGATATAGAGTTGAAAAATAAAATTAAAAACACTTTCACAATTATTGGCTTTGTTTGTTAGGCTTAGAACCTTTTGATTAGCCGTCGTTGAAAAACAAAATAATAATAATAATATAGTAATCCGCTCCAACTAGCACTTACGAAATGAACCTCTTGTCCATCTCAGCTTGGATATATACTTACCGAATTATTTGTTTAGAATAATGGATCCTGCAAAAATAAATTACTAATACTTACCGTATTTGTTATTTAATACTTTACCAAAGAAAACACTCAGAAACATACAGGAAACTTGCAACCAATGGAAATGTGTATTTCATCTCTGAAGTGACGCACATGTTGTGAACGAAAATGTTCTTAAGGAAAGTTACAGAATCGGACAGTAATTATTATCATTCAATTCTAATATTGTTGTTGAGGAAAGACACGGATAGGAATTATTAAATCAATTTCAATATAAATAATATGTCTACGAATTCACTCCAGCTTGTCTACGAATTCACCGTACATTGTGTCCACGGGTTGGGAGTGGCTACGGATATGGCTCTAGTTTAGGAATGTGCTTGAACATTTAGTAATTATATAAGTAAGTAAAGCACGTGTGTGCATGATATTGTATAAAACAATTACTCTGTAGTTTTGGTGATACGTTCAAGAGGCTGTCTACCGAGCTCACCATACACAAATAAATCTGGTGTTGATTGCCTGCTGTCAAAAACACGACCAGAGATGGATTTTTCACCCCAGACTTCACAGACATACAACAAAAACTGTTGTTACATTTCAGTTAAATTTATAAAAAAAAAAAAATTTCTGAACAGCCTCATTATTACAGGATAGATTACATATCGAAACTGTTAAAAAAAAATGTACTGTTATATTTTGGATAACACTTTCTTAGTAAAGAACAGATTCTACAACAGTACTTTTTTGGGGTGAAGTCCCATCCGGTATTCGAACCCACACTGCCAGAGTGAGGCACCTAATCCAAAGCACACAAAGTCAGCGATCTAACCCACTCAGCCACCGAGGCTTCCACAAAAATGATGGGACTGGGATTGGACTCAACCCCCCAAAAGTACTAGAAGCTATGCTATGCTATGCTATGCTATGCTATGCTATGCTATGCTATGCTATGCTATGCTATGCTATGCTATGCTATGCTATGCTATTAAAGAAATAAACGCCGAGTTGTTTATCGTAAAATAAAACACTGCAGGGAGAATAAACCATGAGGGGCGCAGTCATCATTCTCAACTCCCCGGGGAGTATACGACCCAAGCTGCCTACGGGCGCTAGAGGGTTTTACAGCAACCTCACATGTCGGGGACCCATTCCCTGCTGGGTGAACAGAGGCACATTTTAAGTCACTCGCCCAGGGTGACGTACAGCACAATTGTGTTTCGGATACATGTACATATTCGTGTTTCCACCATCTGGCCATCTACCATCGGTTCTGTGGGTTCTTTTGAGTGCACAGGGTGTATGTACTGTACACTGGGGGTAGTGGCATCACTGCAAAGACCTGTATATCCCAAATATAACATTTGTTAATTTGACCGCTTTCTAAATGGCACTGTGTATTCATATGAACATTACGAATGGAAGAAAGATTACACACAGAATGTACTATACACATGGTATGCACAGGTTCACATGTATTTCTAGAAAACAGTTGACGTTAATTTTTAAGTGTGCACATGATAAATTAAAATTCGTCATATCTTGACTAGATCCTATAAATAATTGGATTATATGGATAGGCCTACATAATTATATTTTCGTAATACTTGAACCAGGGTACTTTTGATAATAAAAATAAATAACAGCAGCATTAATTTCGTATTAGTCGTTAGAGCTTTGACGGGCTTAAAATAAAGATTTCTGTATGAAAATCATCAGGCACCCTCAGCAAGTCTATGCCTGAGTCGTCGTCGCACTTGTGGAATTCCCCATATGACGTCACATCATGGCGCCGACAGAGGTGAGTTGCTCGTGACTTGATTGCCTTGAATGATTAGGCTTTCTCGCTATAGGTTGAAACTAGTGATAAACGAAATGATATGGGTAAATGATACACCTGCTCTTTAAAGATCCCCTACGATTTGTCCTTTTTGCTTTATTTCTGTGCACATATGGGAAAACTCGATACCAGAACAAAGCCCCCAGTTTTCGCGCACCTGCGCTACCCTTCGGTGGTGTTGCCAATAACCTCATAAGCATAACCTGATTAGTCCAGTTTGTAAATAATATATGAGTCAGACAACTGAGGCGGTGATATATAAAATGAAACAAAAATGTGTCTCTAATGTACAGCAATTTTATTGATCTAGATCTACTCCTTTTCCAGGACCACAAAGCTAAAGTTGAACAGGCATGCCAGGCCGCAGAAGAGTTCTCTAAACTCTACTATGAACACTTTGACAAGAAAAGACATGTGAGTTTCAGACACACTTTACAATTAGCCCGAATGTTTAGTACCAAGGGAAGCATTGAAGATGTATTCTTGGATATGTATTCATTGCTGCTCAATCCTTTTAATTATATATATATATTTTAGGGGGGATTACAGGCTTAAGTATTCTGATGTAAATTTTAAATTGGCTAACAAATAAAAAATATTGGTCTTCCAAATCAAAGCCATGGCTTAGCCCACTATAGGAGTCGCTAGCAGTGCTGAAGTGATGACTCAGCGTTTAAAGAAACTACTGCACTCTTTCAAAATTATTTACTGTCTACAAATGCTTATTTTTAGTCCAAAAGTGGGTGCAATATGTTCTCCGGTGTGACTGGCAACAAAATACTACAAATTATGTCATAGGGTATGATCACATGTTTGAAAAGTTTGTGGTTATGTCACAACACTAAATGTTGAACAGAGTTGCATGTAGAGTAACTGCAAACTATTTTGCCTTTCTTATTACAAAAATCACCTCAGGGCTGTTGGACTTATCATCTTGTGCATGTTCCTGTTCATTAATATGTTTTCATTTTCTAGTGAGTAGATATATATTCAAAAGTTTGAGTCACATTTGATGCACTGCTCCCCAACACATATTGTGCTCTTCATGGTGAATCGTGGTGAATAAGAGGACATTCATGAATTAATACCATTTATATTACCTGGTACGCAGTTTAATTTTCCTAACCATTTGGTTGAAATGAAACAGAATATATTTTTATTACAAATCGCCTCAAAATATGGTTACTTGGGTAAAAAGTAATGAAAGAAACTTCCAAGTTTTTCAACAAGTCCAAGAGTCACTTCCCTTTAATTGGTTCTTAAAGTTTTACCTCTACAGAATGTTTGGGAAACACTAATCATGCTAATAGTACAATCTGCTTTGGGAGCTTATAATTCAGGATTAGGCAAGATAAACATATTGTCTTGTTTTCTGGACAAGATTACCTTAAATTTGAAATGTAAAAAAAGATTTTAAATAAAATTTCTGTTGTGTTTTTTTTATATTGAAAATCTGCCGGAAATAAAACTCACATCAACACTTTGAGCAATTTTGGTTTCTTTTATTTTGCTTCCTGCTTTTGACCAAATGATGGTTTTGTTACCAAAAAGTAAGAAACTAAATTGATCTGGCCTTAAATTTGCTTGATGGTATTTAAATCTGTGAATTAAAGTTGGACATTGCCTTATTTGAGGTATTTTCCATCTTCCAACAGGGTTGAATCTACTTAGGAGGGATGGAAGACAGAATTGAGGCACTGACTCCATCTGGCGTCCCCACACAGTATTAAAGAAGTTGTTATCCATAATATTGTGTCTATCTTGGCAACTGTTGTCTTGGAAACACCAGTGGTTGTCCACCGATCCAAAATGGACAATTCCCTAAAATTCTATAGAGCACTGATCGAAAATGACATGAACATGGTAGAACATTTGGTGAAAAATCAAGACGTGCACATTGATATGATTTTCATGGATGGTTTTACCTACGTTCAGCCCACATTCCAAGGTTGGGGAGCATTGCATATAGTGACCAGACGAGGACTGTCAGACTCGCTTGAATTACTCGTCTCATTAGGGGCTGATGTTTTCCTTAGCAACAAAGATGGTGACACAGCTCTTCACATCGCTAGCAGATACGGCCATGTGCAGTGTGTGGAGTTTCTGCTGGAATGTGACATTAGACTAAAAGATTATGTGAATAATCAAGGCCTAACACCACTAATCAGGGCTGTTTTCAAATTTGAGCATGCATTCAAAGGTCAATACAGGAAGACGGTGAAAGCGCTTCTTACTGCGGGATGTGACACAAATATCTGTTCATTGTCAAAAGTCACACCTCTCCATCTTGCTGCTGGACGTGGGGATGCCTACTTGTCGAAGATGTTGATTGACGGAGGAGCAGATGTCAACGCTATCTGCAGCCAAGGTTCTAGTCCTCTCCTCAAGGCCCTGTACGCTTTACGTGTGAATTTAGAGTGCGTCAAAGTCCTCCTTCAAGCAAAAGCAGACGTCAACATTGCTACCATATCTGGCCGCACCGTTCTTCACTTAGCCATTTCAAAATGTGATGAAGAATGCGTTGAAGCGATTCTCAAAGCGGGAGCTGACCCAAATGCTCAAGATAATTATGGCAAGACTCCCCTATGGATTGCAGTGCAGGAAAACAACATCAGGTTTGTCCCAATTGTTGCTCAATACGGAGGACACATCGACTACAGCCTTGCTCCTCAGAATCTGTCACTTCTGTCTCTCGCCATAACTTGCCAGTCAACAAACATGGTAAAGCTTCTCCTTGACCTTGGGGCTTCGGTTGACACAGAAACCATCATGCAGGCGTCTCCTTTGTCCCTTGGCATAGAAACTCTCAACATTCCTATCATTAAAGCTTTATTACGTCGCAACTGTCGTCTTAATGTGGTTGGAAATGCTCGCCATACTCTTATTCCACAGTCGCCAATACAGATTGCATTTGAACTTGGTAACCTTGAAATCATCCGTCTGCTCATGAGAGCTGGGTGCAAGGTGAAGGATGTCTGGCTCACATCACAGAAACTTCCACTAGTTATGATGAACAATCAAAGTTTGTTGCAGTGGGTAGAAAGCTACTTCTATTCCGTGCCTTCCTTGATGCATTTGACAAGAGTCTGTATACGAGAGATCCTCGGACCAGATATTCAGCCCAAACTTCAGCAGTTATCACAGCAAGAACTGTTGCCAAGGAGAGTTTTAGACTATCTCTTACTAGAAGACCTTTTGGAAGACACTTTCTGAGAAATGTTAGAACTGGTTGGGGTACAGTATACAGTACAATGATTGTGAAAAACCTGTTCATGTTGATCAGATTTTCTTAAAATGTAAAATGTCTTTTTGCAATATATACTTATCAGATACATTGTGGAAGGAGTTATATAAGAATCATCATGATCATATATTTGTTTAGGCCACAAGAAATTTCTTAATTTTTTTCAATGATTTTCTAATCAGATACAGATGACTCTATTAACATGATTAAGATGCTTAATTACCCCACTTGCCAAAACAGGGCGGTGGGGTAGCCTATTGGTTAAAGTGTTGGCTCGTAACGCCCAAAAGCTGGGTTCGATTCCCCACATGGGTACAATGAGTAAAGCCCATTTTCCGGTGTTCCCCGCCATGATATTGCTGGAATATTGCTAAAAGCGGCGTTAAACCATTCTCACTCCTTGCCAAAACGTATAAAATGAAAAAAAATGTTTCAGGACCAACATTCACTAAGGATTTAAGGATTATCTTAAGATAACATAAGCTCTAAAATCAAATATGTAATTATTTATTTTCCTCCATTTGATGATATATTAAGGGGAAAGTGTAAACATCATCAGGGTTTTTCTTACATGAAACAAAATGCAGTTTTATGGTCCGCTTATATCATTGTTTGAAAGTATGGTCTCCATTTTTTGTCTTCTCCATGGTGATCTTGGAAAATGAAATGACTAACTTTAGAGCTGTCCCTCTAAGAGTAATTTGAACAGCAAGGCACCAATCAGTGAACATGTTCGAAACAGTACAATGTAAGCCAGATGCGTTCACAGTCTCACACACCAATACTTGATATGTTTGAAAGGCCTAATGATGTCATATAATTCTAAATTGGCACAAATAACGTCTAATTCTAAGGGACATCAGCCCTGGTGTGTCGTCATGGAAACAATGTCTGTAAGGGTGAAAATTATGAATAGATTTAGTACAAATCAGTTTGTTAATTTTGATATGTTTTGTTTTCTTAGCCATGATATATCTTCGAAAAGACATCTTGAAAAATGCAAGTGTAAATTTGCAATTTAACAGATTTCAAGAGTCTTTCTATCTTCAACATGTTCAAACGATTTAGTCACTTAAAAGACAACCACTAAATAGTCTCTAAAAGTTCAGGTCCATTTCAGGGGAATAAATCCAAAGAACAAATTGTTTATGTAGATTTAACTGAAAGTGAACTGCATAATTTGATGAAAGGGTATGATGTATTTGTCGCCTTCAACATAAGGAGTCCCAGCTTGGCCCGTCGGTGTTCCAATTATTAAATATTATTGTGGTGTGGTTTTCATAGATTATATTCAGCTATAATGTTATAGTGTTGTTATTTTCAGGCATGTGATATTTCCATCTAAAGTGGAAATTCCATATTTCTTATCTCTCCCTAGACATGCGAACCACCCCACCCCGGCATTTCAGTTCTTATGTCATTCTTCAATCACATGCCTTTATATTTAACTTCTCTATGTCTTTGTAATATATTAAATCATTTTATCATCCAAAACTGGCTCTCACAGGAGATATTGCTTGGGTAAGATCAAGCGATATCTATACTGTAGATATCGCTGCAATGAAATTGCATCACAATGCTTTGCAGACCATTGTGACGTCATTGGTTAGCATGACATCACAATCAAATGACATCACTAATGGCTCTGCTACTAAAGCTGTTAGCAGTACTTTTTACACTTAAGACACTGCTTATTACTTTCTACAAACTGAAAAGGTGGACGGATGATGTTGGATGATAAATAAAATCTCACCCTCGTGTCTTTTGATATCAAATATATCAACACTCGTTGATAAAAGTGGAAAAAAATCCTCAGCAAGCCTCGGAGTTTTCCCACTTTTATCATCTCGTGTTGATATATTTGATATCAAAAGACACTCAGGTGAGATTCTCTATTTAACTATTTCTTCTTACATGCGATTATCAATGTTAAACCCAGTTACCTCCCTTTAGCCTACCTTCTGCTCAAGATTATTGTGGGCAATCTCATCACAATCGCAGCCATTTTTCGCCATCTCTCTAAAGTAACTGGGTGTTTTCTCCCAACACAATGTTTGAACACATGTTGAAATAACTGCTTTTGATCGAAAGTAATTTGTGAATGGTGAAGGCTTTGTATATTCCGGAGTCATGTGCATACAGATATTTTGTTATATTCTACTCAAAAGAAGTTAAGGAACCCCAATTCTTTCATATTACTTCTGGTAATCAGTCATACAGATTAACTATACATGTAGTAATATATATGTGTGGCTGCTTGTACTTGTCTGGACTTGTCGGTTTTATAGTACTGGCCCATTGAGATACCATGCCGCAGTTTAACATGAATACCCTACTCAGACACATTACTGAATCTGAGCTGGCTAGGCCTTTATTTCCTTAGTGTTGAGCGCCAGGCAGGGTAACAACAAGTACCAAGTTGGTATGATGCTGCTAGGGGATCAGACCACCAACCTTCTGCTCTTGAGGCAGACGCAATAATGCTGAATTTTTGCTGATTCATGTAAGAATCGAACTGAGGGGACCTTGACAACAATATGCCAGTGTGTACCAGTGTGTACCTGCTTGCTTATCAATTCAATTTTTGTGTGTGACAGTGAGCCTACATTGCTGATTTTTATTGTTATAATCTTCATAAGTGTGATTCAATTTGGATGGAACTGGTTTAATGGTTGGTTTATGCTTCTGTCTTTGTTTGTGCATAATAGAACATGGGCATTTTGAGTGTGACTATACACAGTCAGGTCCGAACTTGGAGGTGAGGCGGAGGTGTTACAGATTTTTATAATGGGGCCTTTACACAGGATGGCGACCTTTGTGCCTCCCGTGTGCGACCATAAAATTTGCCAGGTTGTCGTTGGAGGCTCAAAGGAGACAGAATGGTTACCAAGGTTGTTCCAAGGTGGTACACAGGAGGTTCAGAAATCGCCATGGTCGCCATGGTCGTTGTGAATTTTTGAACATGTTCAAAACAATCGCACAAAGGTCGCCGAGGAGGTTGGTTGCTCAAAGGAGGCAGAAAGGAGGCACAAGCATTTTCCTTTGTTGCAGAATGAAGGCACAGTGGTCGCCCAATGGTCGCCAGGTAATAGATGCGTTCTGCTGAAATATTTTCCCGTCAATCTGGGAGATGCTTCTGCCTCCCTTGTGCCTCCTTTGGGCGACCAACAGCGTGCATTGAACGATGACTGTGGTGACCACCGTGCCTCCATTCGGCGACCACAGCAACCCTTGAGACACCATGGCAATGCTTCTGCCTCTTTTCTGCCTCCTTTGAGCTACCTGTAGTGCCACCTCAGCCTGCCTATATAAAAAGAGGGCTTGTTCCTGCAGTGTTTCATTGTGGTTGCAGACGCTGAACAACTCGAGCAATTACTGCTGAACAACTTCTGGAGCAGTTACATAGAAACATGATTTTCTGGATTTAGGTGACCATTGAGCGTCCTGGCCAGTTTTTGATCGCTCAAAGGAGGCACAAAGGTCGCAGCCCTGTGTAAAGGGGCCTTAGGTGAAAACTTTGGTTGGTAGGTGGAAAAACTAAACTAAACTAAAATCCATTCTACTGTATTTTTTTAATCTCTTCAAACTTTGATTTAAATTCCTAGATTTTAAAATCAGTTAAATCTTGGACTTGTTTGGTTCTTATAAATATAAATATAAAATCTTGTAATCATGTATTATCTTTGGGGAAACAAATCTGTTTTAGACATATAAAAATCCCTTGGACTTCTTTTTTGTCAATGCAATATTTACCAGCGGCAAAATGAAAAAAACTTGTCATCCTGATTGATTGATTGATTTATTCTGAATTTTCTATTTTTAAGGTTGACAGATCCGTAAACCAGGCAAAATAAATGTTAAGCCCTATCATCCATCTGTTATGTTGTGATAAGAAAAATAAAATAAGATCCATCTCGGTATGGCGATGTATTGGCTGCTGCCTTTTGTTTCCAATGTTGGCTGTGTTTTTGTTCTTATTTATAGAATGTGAGCTGTGATCTGTGATCTGTTCTTGTTGATTTGTGGAAATTTTGTGATAAATTATTGAAAGGTGTGATGATATTTGCCTGATAATAAACAATTCTCTTACAAATGTTCATGTTTGTTTGTTGCTTTTTCTGCAGTAATGTGATTAAGATTAGGTTTCTGGAAAAGCCAGGAGTCAGAACACCGACCCCTTATGGCACAAATGACCATGCCCCCCCCCCCCCCCCCCCATGTTTTACTTCAAGAAGGGTATCCTGGCCATGTCTGAAACAAGGCCCATCATTTCACAGTTGGTGAGGGCTTGACTAAGCTACTGCAATTCGCTGTGGACGGTTAAGGGGAGAAAAGATACAGCCAGTCCATGATACGGTACAGGTCAAGATACATAGGTAATGATTGGATACGTATTGCGATACACATATTTACGTCAAATTGCATGGAAACTTCTTGTCTATAAATATTTCGGAGCATGTTCTAAAGGAAAAGCTAGCGGTAGACACTTGTTCATAGCTGTTATTTTTAGTAGTGAACTTTGAATGCTAATAACAACAGATTTTGTAATATTTGACTGACAAAATTGTTTGGGGTCATTAAATGAGTAGTAAGTATTATATTTTAACAAGTGTATCATCTTGTATCGATACAGAAGAAAACGTATCCTGTATAGTATCATCACATGAAATCTTATGATGCACTGGTGCACTGATGTATCGTTTCACCTCTAGGGCAGTTGCATGATTGCATCCCTTGTGTTTTGGTGCTAGATCTGTAATTGTAGGTTTGAATCTCATATTCGCAAAGATTATGTTTCTAGTTTTGTCAGCATCCTACCCATGCTTTTGGGTTTTACCGAAGTGAGAGACATCTGAGACCTGCATCACTTTGGACTTTCCTCCATATCGAGCTTACATGCCATGATTTGAGTAAACTTGTAACTAGAATATTCTTCAAAGTGGCTTTAGTAAACATGGTTAAAATCAACAATTATCAACAAATTTGGAAAAAAAACCACATTGAACTTGGAATTATCAGGGTTTGTCACTCTTCTAAAACTTTAATCAATTTTTTCTTGACCAGTGACCAAAGATGACACGCTCCGTCCATTGATCCGTTCGTCACGTTTTGTTTCTGGAGCAGAAATTGGGAAACCAAAAGAGATAACTTTACAAATGTGGTACACACATTCACCATACGGTGTAGATATGCCTCTTGCTATGTAGGTTTCCCTTCATTTTAAATGTATTTTTTATACAATTTTGAAATTTTGAACTGAATGAAAGGATTGGGCTTCATTTCTGGAGCAGAACTTGAAAGTTATTAGAGATAGCGTTATGAAACTAAGAACACACATTCAACCTATAGTGTAGATGTGCCCTTTTCTATTTATCATTCCCCCCTACTATTTTGTTTTTAAATAAATTTTATCAATTTAGACTTGAATTGAATGGAAGCAGTCTCAAAAATTTTACATGTCAGTTCTGTTATATACTTCTCCATGAAACTGTGTACAATATCAGTCTTAGGCTGTTATAGAGTCTTTGTTCTTTAAAGATTTTAAACAATGTTCTACAATACAATTCCTTATATCTAAATGAGTGAATTGTGCAGTGCTCAAGAATACAGAAATATTCTTCACCTTCAGGTACTGGAGGATGATTATCACCTTTGTTTATCATTACAGTTTTACTGAAGCAGATATTGTACAAAGTTTTATGGAGATGTTATACAGGAGCACTCATATTCCTCTTCTTCCACAAGCAGATGGACAAACTGATAATTTACAATGTCACATTTGATTGCACATATTGTCTTTAAGATTGGACAATGGGTGGGGGATATAGATGACTTCCTTGTCTTGTATTCAGAGAAGGTTCTCTCGTAAATTTTGTGTTTTCTCTCGTTTTTGTGTAGATGACCTATTGTTCAATCTAATTTGTTTCTTCTTTTCCTAAGAATCCTCTTACTTGGAGTCCAAGTACCAGAATTTGCTTCATTAGTGATACTGGACACCTGTGTTCATGGTAGCAACCAGACATATCCATTGCCAGGAATATTTCATGTCACAACGCTTGGTGTGATGTCACAGTTCATGAGTTGACTTTGTCCTCTTTATGTCAAACTGCAGTGTCCACTTGAGAGCCATTTAATTGCGCTATAAATATACTACTCAAAAGAAGTTGAAGTTGAAGAACGCTGTTGCAATACCCACCAGCCATGACAGATTAATTACAGTCAAAATCGGGTGTTCTTAACTTCTTTTGAGTAAGGAAGAGAATATATGGATGTCAACTTCTTTATTATGAGGAACACAACGTTTTGGAGTATATGCTTACTCCTTCATCGGGTGAATGAATGCCGTTCGTTGGTTCATTCGGAGATTTAACGTGTGCTTTCCGCGTGTAATAAATTACACTTTAGCGTATCTCGCACACGGGGAAGCACTTATACTATTGGGGGAAAAAAGCGTAATGAATAAATAAAGAAGTGCGACCCCAAAAAATGTAAATTAGGTAAACCTAAAATGATAATAGAATCCTAGAATGAATGCCATGAGGCAGAGAGCATATATATGTACATGTGAGGACAACAAAATGAATAAGATAACAAA